TATTCTTTGTATTGCTGGCTTATTATGAATTCATTTAGTTTTTCTTTACTGTTAAAAGTTTAGTTTCTTTGTTGAATGTGAATGCTAGCTTTGCTGGATACACCAGTCTGGGCTGGCAGTTATTGGTTCTCGGGGCCCAGATGGTACTTTCCCTGGCTTTCCTTGCATTCAGTGTCTTTGAGGAGAGATCTGCAGTGATTCTAATTTTTCCCCCTTGTAATATAGCTCCTTTTTTGCTTTTGCTGCATGTAGGATTGTTTCTTTATTGCTGAAATCTAGCATTTTTACTATAATGTGCATAAAAGTGTTCCTCCTGGGATCCTGCTTGTTTGGTTTCTGTAAGCCTCTGTTATGTAGTTCAGATTTTCTCTTTTAAGACTGGGGAAATTTACAATGAAGATCTTATTGAATAAGTTGCATTCCTTTATTCTGGTATTCCTCACCTTCATCTACCCCAATTATACGAAGGTTAAATTTCTTGGCACTCTGCTTGTTCTTGGGCTTCCTTTTGGCATATTTTGAGTGTTTTTTCCATATCTGTAACTTTTTTCCACTTCCTTCATTTGTCTTTAGTATCTGATATTCTGTTTTCCATTTCATTCACTCTATTAACTGTGGCTTCCATTGTGGTTTGGCATGGAGGAAATTGAATTTTGCATGGAGGAAATTGAGACATTTATGATTTTTACATTGGTTCTCAGAGTATGAATCTCATCTCTTTTTTGTTTGTTTGTTTGTTTGTTTGTCAGTTGTGGGTCTTGAACTCTAGGCCTGGGCACTGTCCTTCAGCTTTTCAGGTAGGGCTAGGACTCTACCACTTTAGCCACAGCACCACTTCTGATTTTCTGGTGGTTAATTGAACTTTCTTGCCTCGATCCTCAGATCTCAGCCTCCTGAGTAGCTAGGATTGCAGGTGTGAGCCACCAGCACCTGGCTAATCTCATCTTTTAGTGAGGCATGTATTGCATCTATCTTGAATGCATTTCTTGTTTGAAATCTTGGATCTCTTTTGGTAATTCACTTCTTTGTTCTTTAAATTTCTGATGCATTTCTCGCTTTAATTCTTGAGTCATTGCCTCTCTCATTTCCTGGATGTGCTGTTTGTTTTTCACTTCCACTGGAGTCCTTTCGGGAGTGGATGCTGGCCTTTGGGTCTGGTTTGCTCTCTTGGCAGCTGATAAATCTTGTAATTTTTCACTGTGATTTTCGCATGTGGATTCAGGTATTATTGGAGACCAATTCCAAACCCTGACTGTTTTGGTTGCTAGGTGGCTGCCTTTGTTTTGTTCTGGATTGGTTCTTGGATCAATTGATGAAGCTTGCTCTCGGCCCTGGGCTGGTTGAGAGAACTGGTCTCAGTTCTGTTGGGGGCGGTGCTTCTTTCCAGCTGCTGGTCTGGCCCACATAGGGCTTACTTTTGTTAGATTCTGGTGGGCAGACACACTCCACCCTCTGCTGAGGTGTGTGCTCAGAACCTGACCAGTCAGAGACAAATGGGCTCCTACCTGGGACTCGAGGGCATTCTTGGCCAATCAAGCCTGGGTACCCACAGGTTGCTGGTATGCTTGCACAGTTCCCAGCTTCTGTAGGACCCTGTAGCCCAGTGGTAGGGGGAGGGGTACAAGTAAAGTTCTGGTACAAGTCAAGTACTGGTCTCCTGTGGGGGTGGAGGCATCCCCTGTGGAGACTCACTTATCCTGGAGCTGGTTGGGAGCTGTCCAGCGGTGCTGTGGCAAATCACTGTTTTTGTGCACCGTGGCCACCGTGTTCGGCATTCGTTGAAATGCTTGTGGGCTGTGCTGGGTGGTGGTGTGGGCCGGATCTGTGTTTCACAGTCTCTGCCTCTGTTTATGCTATCTGGGTTGGTGCCACAGGCGTTTTTTTTTGCACTGGCCTTCTATGGGTCAGACCGCTGTGGTTCTGGGGTCTCCCACTGCCGTGGGCCAGGCTATTTGGCAGGGGTGGAGGGGTCTTCGTGCAGGTTCTGAGCTCCGAATTTTCTGTCTCTGTTTGCACTCTCCGCCGTCTCATGAGAGTCTTCTTGGAGGCTTGGGACTCTTGTGGGCCCCAGTGAGCCCCGGACCAGGCCACCTGGGTGGCTTAGCATAGAGCCACGCTGCCAGCAAGGGGGGTGGTGGGGGGAAGGGTCTTCCCACTTGACCATCTCTGTGTAGGTTCTAAAGGGTTTTTTCCTTTTCTTTTTTTTCACTTCCTGTATCTCTCTGAGTATTTGCCTTTTTGTAGTTGTTGGTCTCTTGGAGAAACAGAGCATTGAAACCCAAACTCTCTTATTTGGTTGGAGAGAGCTGTGGTGTTTCCCTACTGTGCCATCGCCATCTTGGCCCCTGTGGTCGTTTCTTGATGTCGGCCCAGTGGATGGTTTCAGGACACACAGCACAATTATAATGTCTCCAGGTCATGGCCGAGGGGCATCCTTCTTAATCTCTGAGCAGCAGAGGTACTTTTTAATGTCTGCCATGAGTTTTCTCACTTCATACTAAATGTGTAGCTGAAACAGTGTTGCTGGACTTGGTATGCAGTGAACCCCAGGGAGAAGCTGGCCCAGAGATGCAAGAGAACATCTGGAATAAAGTGAGCCAACCAGGATGGCGGAAAATACTTGAAATAACCAGACAGACAGCAACATGTTTTAAAATCTCAGGCCTGGACGTGGTGCTTCCAAGCCTAGAATCTCAGCTACTCAGAAGCAGAGGCTGGGAGTATCTTAAATTGAGGTCAGGTGAAAAAGTTAGTGAGTCCTCATCTTAACAAATAAACCAGATACACTCATTTACACAGGTAATTCTAGCTGTTCTGGAGGTAGAGGATCATGGCTTAAGCTAACTCTGACAAAACACAAAACCCTACCTCAAAAATAATTAAAGTAAAAAGAGCTGGAACTATGGCTCAAAGTAGTAAAGTATCTGTGCTAAATAAAAGCACAGGTCCACCAAAATAAAAAAATATATAAAAAGCACAGGTCCTCCAAAATAAAAAATATAAAAAGCACAGGTCCTCCAAAATAAAAAACATAAAAAAGCACAAGTCCACCAAAATAAAAAATATAAAAAGCACAGGTCCTCCAAAATAAAATATATATATATAAAAAGCACAGGTCCTCCAAAATAAAAAATATAAAAAGCACAGGTCCACCAAAATAAAAAATATAAAAAGCACAGGTCCTCCAAAATAAAAAATATCAGCCATTGTTGAGAGCTGCCTCACCTCCCCAGAACCTCAGGCATTGTGGCTCACGGGCTGCTCAGGGTTCAGAGGACACTGACGGAAAGCGTAGAGGTGCCGGGGCCTGGCCAGAGGGAGGACCGCCCACCCTGGCCTGGCAGCAGAGAGGTGGACTAACAGGTGTGAGGAGAGGCCAGCAGCATCTGTTAATAGGACAGGACTTGATTTAGAACTGCGCTGACACCTGCACCCTTTCCACTGGCACAGCTTCCCTGTGAGCACGGGGAAGATCTGTTGTTGCTTTTTAATTAAAGAGGACTTGATAACATCCCAAAGATGGTGATTTCCTCCTTCCCCCAAAAGATGATCCAGGGAGTGCGAGGCCTTGAGTGACGCACTAGCATTGAACCTCAACAGTGCCAAAGCTGAGCTTTGCTCCTTTCAGACCCAGCCCTGCAGTGTCTGCCACAGCTTGAATTCACACAGCTCACTTGGAGGAATCCCACCCACCTTACTGTTTACTAGCTCTCACAAACACAGTAGTTTTAAAACAGCACTAATGTACCCACAAGCAGACTGAGTAAGAAATCCATCCCAGTGTTACTGTGCTTTCTGCCCAGGGTCCCACAGAGCTGAAATTCAGGTGTCCACTGGCTTTGTGGAGGCACTGGATCAGAATCTGCTTACAGGCTCATGTGGATCCTGGGCCACCACCTGGGGCTGCTCTGGGCTCCCTGATGAACCTGCGTTCCCTGCTCCCTCGGTCATTAAAAGTCAGCCAAAACAAGCAAGCCCTGTGCCCTTGGTAGGTCAGGTGCACTCGGACACTCCCCCATTTTATGAAGCCACCTGTGCCGCAGTGCTGCCTGGGCACAGAACTCGGGGCTACAGCACATAGTGGGCAAGTCTGCAACAGCTCTGAAGCCAAGCTAGGATTCTAATGACATTCTGTGTGAAAGAAAAACAAGTCTAGAAATAACTACAAGTTTAAGTCTTTAGTCCTCATATTGTTTTGTGCGGTCTCCAGGCAGGGGTGGAGAAAAGGTGAACCCCTAGAAGGCTCATCAGCTGTGTGTCAGGGTTTTTGTTTGAATGACAAGCCTGCGGTGTCTTATATCAGTCCTTCTCAGGCCTCACCTCAAGGGCCTTTCTCACCTGCCCTCTAAAATAGTTCCACATTATTTCATCCAAGTTTCATGTGTATATTGAGTTACTGTGTCTGTCTCATAGCCAGGTACACAGGTGGTAATAGCATAGCTAAGCCTAGACATTCCAAGAACTCCATGTCTTTATCGTGTGAGAGATGGCACCCAGTGATGTGTTCAGTCAGCGGAAGAACACATTGTACTTGAACCAGCAGAAGCATTGCATGAGCAGTTGGTCCTGAGACAAAAGCAGCTGCTGGCTGTGGGGAGTGGCGGGGGCAGAGGGTGAGGGAGGGAAGTCATTCCAGCAGAGGGGTCAGCACGTGCAAAGGAGGGGCAGAGAGCCAAGTGACCAGTAATGGAAGGCAGTGCCACAGGTGCTGCTGAGTTGGCCACTGCCCACACAGCCAGGGTGCAACCAGGTCTGCGGGCTGTGCACCCCACAGCCAGGGCGCAGCCCAGGTCTGCGGGCTGTGCACCCCACAGCCAGGGCGCAGCCCAGGTCTGCGGGCTCAGCCCAGGTCTGCGGGCTGTGCACCCCACAGCCAGGGCGCAGCCCAGGTCTGCGGGCTGTGCACCCCACAGCCAGGGCGCAGCCCAGGTCTGCGAGCTGTACACCACTTCCCATGCAGCCCCTTTGCAAACCCTAACCCCATCATTCCACTTCCTCAGCTGAACTTGATGCAAAGCACACGCAGAAAGTCCTGGACATGGAGCACACCCAGCAGACAAAGCTGAAAGAGCGGCAGAAGTTCTTTGAGGAAGCTTTCCAGCAGGACATGGAGCAGTACCTTTCCACAGGCTACCTGCAGATCTCGGAGAGGCGAGGTAAGCTGGAGCAGGGCTCCGCCCATGCACTGGGCATGTTGTAATCCTTCTGCGTGGATCTCCCTGTAATAAACCCACCAGACCAAGCTCAGGGCCTGACGAGCCCTTGTTCTGCCTCTTGCAGTAGCTCTAGTTGACAGTTGTAAGATTTTTTTTTTTGAGGGGACAGGGATTGATTTTTCAAGACAGGGCCTCGCTATGCCCTGAACTCCAGATCCCCCTGCCTCCACAGTGCTGGGATTCAGAAGCCTGTGCACCATCAGGTCTGGCCAGAAGACACCTTGCTGCTGTTTGTAGGACACAAGACTGACCCAGGCCTTCCCACATGCCTGTGCTACACCTTAAGCTAAAATAATTTTTCAAATAAGACAAAGACAAAAATTGCCCATAATTCTATACCCTGGTTCTTTCAGGATTCTACTTATATAATTGGCATAAAGCTAAACATGTATATGGCTCTATGTTGTATAGAGTTTCTTCCCACTTCCCCCCCACCCCCATTACTAAGAACCTTTGAGGGACTAGGGATGTGGCTCAGGGCTTGCACAAGGCTTCTGGGTTCATTTCTGAGAATTGAAAAGTTCTTTGTAAGGATGTACTTTCGGGCTTTTTGTTTTTTGCCAGTTGTCGGGCTTGAACTCGGGGCCTGGGCACTGTCCCTGAGCCTCTCTGTGCTCAAGGCTAGTGCTCTACCACTTGAGCTACAGCACTTCTCCTAGCCTTTTTCTGAGTAGTTTATTGGAGATAAGAGTCTCGTGGACTTTACTACCCAGCTGGCTTTGAACCACAATCCTCAGATCTCAGCTTCCTGAGTTGCTAGGATTACAGGCGTGAACCACCAGTGCCCGGCTCCTAAGGATGTTTGTGGGGTGATCATCATCCGGATGTGTCCTGATACACAGCCATCCCTCCTTATGTGTAACTTTCCTCATGGATACCAATTCCCATGCATGCTCTAGTCCTTACATAAAATGACATAGTACATGCTTAAATCACCTTCAGGTTATTTGTAACACCTAATATATCTTCAGTGCTGTGTGCAGAGCTATATATTGTTATGATTAGAATGAAGGGGCCCCTGTACATGTTCAGGACAGGCCCTGATTACGTACCCCAAACCAGATTGGTTGCACAGGCAGGACCTGGGGAAGCAAAGGACCCACTGTGTTTAAGCAGTTGCGTAGCTGAGCAAGAGCATCAGATGCATAGATGCACGCAGTGACTGAGGGGAGTAGAGACTAGACTCCTGTCTTGGCCTCTCCTTCCTAGGAACCTGCTGCCTCAGGCACAGCGGCCGGGGAAGGCAGAGCGGCGTGCTGGGTAGCTCATGTCGCCCCAGGCAGGTGCTGAACTATGTGCCCAAGAACTTTAAAGATGGGGGTGGGCTCCTCTGTCCCCTGGGGTTGCGTCCTAGATCCCTGCCTCTTTGCACGCATCCTTCCTGCCATCCTTGGTGCATCGGCACCCACTCCCTCCTCAGCCCCAGCTGAGCAGCATCCAGTTCTCACAAATCTCACGCAGGGATCCGTAGAACAGCCAGCCCTTGTCCTCAGAGCACCTCAGGTCTCAGCCTCTCCTTCAGGAGGAAATGGAGAGCTTGTGCCAGGAATCTGCATCCTGCCAGGCAGGAACTCAGAAGGCTGCCACAACAAAATAGCCCAGTCTTTAATTCTCCGAGTCCCAGAGATCTGAGAGCAGAGGGCCGGCCAGGGCAGCACAGGCTGTGGGGCCATTTAATTGCCTTTCCTCCATTTTGGTCAGCATGTGCTACGTGTGCACTTTTGAGCACAAGGGGACGTGGAGAAAATGAAAGTTGAGAGAGGTGACAAACAAAACCCTGACAGGTCTTAGAGGCTGTGTGCACAGTGGCCCTCCTGCCGTCACTGAGCCAGGCCCTGCAGACCCTGAGCCGCTGAGCCGGGTCCTGCAGACCCTGAGCCGCTGAGCCTGGTCCTGCAGACCCTGAGCCGCTGAGCTGGGTCCTGCAGACCCTGAGCCGCTGAGCCGGGTCCTGCAGACCCTGAGCTGCTGAGCTGGGTCCTGCGGACCCTGAGCCGCTGAGCTGGGTCCTGCGGACCCTGAGCCGCTGAGCCAGGTCCTGCGGACCCTGAGCCGCTGAGCCGGGTCCTGCAGACACTGAGCCGGGTCCTGCAGACCCTGAGCCGCTGAGCTGGGTCCTGCAGACCCTGAGCCGGGTCCTGTGGACCCTGAGCCTGGTCCTGCAGACACTGAGCCTGGTCCCGCAGACGCTGAGCCGGCCCCTGCAGACGCTGAGCCGGCCCCTGCAGACGCTGAGCCCCGGGTACTGCCATCACTGAGCCGGGTACTGCAGACCTTGAGCCACTGAGCCAGGTCCTGCAGACCCTGAGCCGCTGAGCCCGGCTCCTGCAGCTGCTCCCTGCTGGGCGAGCCCAAAGCAAGTGTGAATTGGACCGAGGTCAATTAAATGTTAAGTGCTTGGATTTTTGTGGCTTTGAACATCTCAAGAATACTTCTCTTCAAGTTTCTAGAAAGTAGCGCATTCTTTTGCAGTTTAAAAACCAAAGCAAACCAACAATGGAGCGGGCACTGCTGTGTCTGGATTTCACACTGAGGACAGTGGAAGGCTTTGGGCTCCCCAGCCCTGCCATGGTCAGAGCACCCTCCCCCAGGCTCTTCCCGGCTTTCCCAAGGAAGGGTCTTCATCAGCAGGATGGGCCAGAAAATTCACTTTGGAAGAACTGATCAAAGAAAAAGAAATGTCTTTGATGGAGTGAACCTGACATTTTGGCCTCTCTCCACTAAGAAAGAACAGTTTGAATTTTTTCAGGGTCACATGCATCATTTTTAAATTAAACCCATGGAAAGCCTCATCCAGAAACTTAGCTAAGTGTGCAGGCCTCGCGGTGACACTTGGAGCAGGGTGCGTCTGGGTGGGCCATAGAGCAGGGAGCCAAAGGCAGCGGCAGGGTGCTGGGCGGCCCAAGCACAGCCAGAACCCCTGTGCCCGCAGGGCCCGGGGCTGTGAGGGCTTACTAGATGCTTCCCCTTGACCTTGACTTGGTGGCTTCCTGATTTCTCAGAGAAGCATCTTTACTGCTTTCATTTTGTGCTAGGCGTCAAGGTTCTTAACAGAGCCCCTTGGAGATGCCCTGCTCCGTACCTGTCCCCTGGCTCCATGTTTCCAGTTAGGAGTTTGGGTCCTGCTGCTGCATGGCGGGTCAGCAAAGTTGAATCCTTGCAAACCAGGGCTGCCTCTGTGCCACAGAGCCTGACTAGGCCCTCGTCCCAGAGTGGACCCAGTGCTCTGAAGATAGAGCACTGGGTGTCTGTGCCAGTCAGGGACAGGGACAGTAACGTGCGGCCGGACAGAGCTAGCAGATAAAACCACCTGTGCTAGTTTAGAGCCTGTCCCTAAGACATCGTAGAGTACAAAAATGTCTTCAGATTGCTGCCAGCTGTGATACTAGCTTGATGTTATTAACTTCCCCAGGAGGGTCTTATTTAACATTATGAAAATTATTACATTCTATTACTAGTTTTCATTTTAATTAGGAGGCATTTTAAATATCCAGAGAAAAACTGACAATAGTCTTAATATGCTCCCATTTCCAGACTAAACATGTTAATACTTGCCTCCTATCTTTAAAAATGCTTTAAACATTCCAGACATATAAAAACCTATCTATGAATCTGCTGCCCATCGGGTACATAAATAAAATACCCTCCCCACAGGTGAGGACGCTGTGCCCACTGATGTATCCTCTTCCTACTGCAGAGATTGCCAGCCCCCAACACACACAAACTTATTGGGCAGGCATTTTGATAATACATTTGGGCTTATTGAGATATTATTTATTCTTAAATTTATTTACATTGAACATTTATGGGCAGCTAGTATAAACAGACAGACCTTACAAGTATATACTCCCACATTCTAGAGGGCCCAGAGTTTGTGATTGTGAAGCTGTTGGCAAGTTTTATATGACCTGCAGGTTGATGCTGCTGTCTAGGGGGGCATTCTTTTTTTTTTTTTTTGCCAGTCCCGGGGCTTGAACTTGTGGCCTGGGCACTGTCTCTGAGCTTCTTTTGATCAAGGCTAGCACCCTACCACAGCACCACTTTCAGCTTTTTCTGTTTATGTGGTACTGAATTGAGACCCGGGCTTCATGCATGCTAGGCAGGCAGTCTACCACTAACCACATTCCCTGCCCACTTCTGTAGGGGGCAAGCAGTCACATGGCGCGCCTGTCTTTTAAGTTTACTAGATTCCATCAGTGGCTTACCAACACATTGAAGCCGGTTTCCATGCCCCCGTGCTTGCTGCATGTGGCATTGCCAGAAAAGCTTGGTATGAAATGACATTTGGGTTTCACTTTTAATTTCCATCGCTTATTTTATTCCTTTATGTTCCTTTTTTTTGCATCCATACTTGTAGATATTGACCTTTGCTATTTGTGCATATAATTTCTACAATCTGTGGCTTTTCGTATTTCAGAGTTGGTTCTGTGTAAATCAAAAGTTAATTGATCAGCTTTGGTTATGGTTTGTATTTGTTTCTTAAGAAATGATTGGCTTTGCTCAGTGTGGTGGCACTCACCTGTAACCTCAGCTACTTGGGTTGCAGAAACAGGAGAATCAAAGTTTGAGGTCATCTCAGGCAAAATTAGCACGAGACCTTCTCTGGAAAACAAACTAAAAGCTCAACAACCTGGGGCTTAGAACAAGTGGTACGGCACTTGCCTCGTAAGCCCAAGGCCCTGGCTTCACTGCTCAAAGCCACAAATGAGGGGCAAAGAAATCCTTAGCTTCTAGTTGTAGGGGCATTCTACTGTTTTCTATTTCCTTCTTGACTCTGTAGTTCACTGTCAGTTGAATTTGTGTATCTTGGTGGGGCCCATTTCCACGTTGGCCATGGTAGAAACTCTCAGTCTGGTCACCAGCCTTCTTCCTGTGCTGCTTTCATCCAGCCCACTGTGTCCACAGTGATGCAGCCCCGAGTCCTTCTATCCAGTTACAGTGGGCTTCCACTTCTATTCAGTGATTCTGCCATGGAGCCTGGATCAGAACCATACTGCCTTGTAATATTCATCAAGCACTGGCTCCTTGCTGGGGACATTTGGCAAAGCCTGGGGACCGTGTTGCTTGATGTATAGGATAAGGGTATGGCAGAGGCCAGAGGTCCTATTCAGCGCCCTGCATGGCACAGCATGGGCCCACATGCCATCAGGAGTCAGCAGCAGGCTCTGTCCCATGACCACGGGCCTCTGTGTCTCTATAGCCTTGCCACTTTAGTTGCTGAGACTCTTCCTTGGTCAGAGTTTGACTGGAATTGTTTAGTTTCTAGACTGACAGAATTGGCTTCTTTATGAAATTAGGATTTTTCTAGGACTGCTATCCCCCTTCATTTACTCCTGAGTGTCAGAAACACTTGCCTCAGATACGGTTTGGGACCAATGACATTTCTGTTCCTCATACCATATACTGTGTATTGTTAATTTTGGCACATTTTCCGTGAATTATCTTTTTTATATGCATTAGCATAGGAACCTTTTCAGTCTGTTGTAGTTAGTCTGTCTTGCATATCTAAAAGAGTTTGATAGGGGCTGGGAATGTGGCTTAGTGGTAGAATGCTCACCTAGCATGCCATATAATCAGAAAAAGCCATAAATGGTGCTGTAGCTCTACTGGTAAAGTGCTAACCTTGAGCAAAAGAAGCTCAGGGACAGTGCCTAGTCCTGAGTTCAAGCCCCAGAACTGGCGAAAATAAATAAAATTGTTTATTTTGTTCACATGAATATCTTTAATCCTGCCACTTCGGAGGCTGAAGCAGGATGATCAGAAGTTCAAGGCCAGCCTAGGTTACTAAGAGATGCTATCTCAAAGCACTCTGGACCCTGAGTGCTGTCCCTCAGCTCTTCAGCTCAAGGTGCTCTACTACTTGAGCCATAGTGCCACTTCTGGTGGTTAATTGGAGATAAGAGTCTCAAGGACTTATCTGCCCAGGCTGGCTTTGATCCTCAGATCTCAGCCTCCTGAGTAGCTAGGATTATAGGCATGAGCCACTGGCACCTGGCAGACTTCCACTTTTTTATGCTTACTTAAGAGATAAGAGTCTCAGGGGCCTTCCTGCCTTGACTGAACTGAGATCCTCAGATCTCAGTCTCCTGAGTACTCCTGAGTAGGTAGGATTACAGGTGTGAGCCACCAGCACTTGGCTAAAAGTACTATTCTTGCCCCAACAATGCTTCTTAGGCAACAGCTTTTATCATTTTCTTAACTGCTTGTCCATAATGTTATTTAAAAGATTCAACCAAAGCAACAAAGAAAAACGTCATTCATATAGTTGTTTTGTTTTTTGACAGACTTGCTGTGCAGTATAGGCCAGTCTGCTGTTTGAGATCCTCTCCTGCCTCAGGCTCCAAGGCCTGGGATTATAGATGTAAACTATCAGCACCAACTGTCATCTTTTTTTAAACTGTTTTTTGTTTTGTTTTGTTGTTTTTTTTGCCAGTCCTGGGGTTTGAACTCAAGGCCTAGACACTGTCCCTAAGCTTCTTTTTACCCTAGGATAGCACTCTTCACTTGATCCACAGCTCCACCTCTGGCTTTTTCTGAGTAATTTATTGGAGATGAGTCTTAAGGACTTTCCTGCTTGGGCTGGCTTTGAACTGCAATATTCAAATCTCGGCCTCCTGAGTAGTTAGGATTACATGAGTGAGCATCCAGCATCCGGCTTAACTGTATTTTTTAAACTGTGATTTGTGTGTGTGTGTGTATGTCTTTTCTTTTTTTGGTACTGGGATTGGACCCAGGACATTGCACTTACTAGGCAAGTGCTTTGCCACTGAGCTGCATTCCAGCCCTGTCATCTTTAGCAGGTTTGGCTCATTTACATTTAGTGAATACGGGCATAGACAGCTTCATTACCATCTTACTTGGTGCTCCTTTCTTAAAAGCTTTTTTTGAAAGCATTTTTTTTAATGTTATGTAGAATAAGAGCCTCTGCCTTTTTCAAAGTTAAAGTCAGAACACTGGCCTTTGGCCATACTGAAAGGCTCCTTCCATAGCCAGAAAAAGTCCCAGCACCTCCCATCTCCCACCTCAGAAAAGTGCCACCAGGAGGCACCAACATAACCAGTCAGCCTGCATACCAGGGTCCAGCGCTGTTGGGCCTTGTGCTTGGTTCCAGATCATGTGGGTGTAGTGTTGACACTGATGTGGTCCAGGGTGTGAGGCCTTGGCAGGTGAGCCTCAGGACAGCATGGATTTGGATGTTACTTCCAAGTGTCAGGTTGTCAAATGAATGAGCTTGGCACCGGAAAAACCAGAAATCTTCCTCCTGGGACTCACCCTGTTCATAATATCTTTTGCTTCCTAAATCTGGGCCCCCAGGCCTGTTGGTTTTGGAAAATACTGGCTTCTTTAAACAGGATTGCTCTTCCTTTCCTTTTGGAACTGTGAAGTGCTAAAGCTTTGGCATTTTCTAGCTCACATTTATATATCTTACTTGGGGAATCTATTCAATCACCGTGTAATCTAGTTTATTGATTTTCTACACTGATCTTCCATTCAACTCACAGGTCAAGTAAAATTTCAGTGATTAAATTTCTGTAGGTCCCCTTTCAGATGGCTAGTCTGACACTTGCTCTTTCATTGGTCCCCAGTTTATCTGAAGTTGTTGGCAAAAGATGCCAACACTGGATTTGCTTGTGCTGGCCCTCCTTTGCAGAGGCCTGTCTCCATGTGTTGTAAATTCTGATTGGGTTATAATGTCTTTATGAGCATGTATTCCTGTGAAACCCACAACTAAGGGTGCATTCTTCCAGAAACAATTTGCATTTGCTTCCACCAGGTACTGCCATACCCAGGATGCCTTTATTGGCTTGTGGTTTTCTGGGCTGTAAAAGCCGGGGACAAGACAAAGCAGTTGATTCCTGTTGCAGGTGGGCTGGGAGCTGTGGGTTGCACTACTCAGCCTTCAGATGCTTTAGGACTGCAAAATGCCCAAAGGTCAGTGCAATTTTAGATGGTGCCCACCTGTATGCGGAAGTGGCCGATGTCCTGCAGCAAAACAGTAGCCTGAGCTTTAGATAATGCCTGCCCTGCTCAAATATTAGTGGGCAACAAAGGGCTAGGACAACAAAATGGAGAAGGGCTTAAGAGTGACAAATGACGTGGACCAGATTGAACCATGTTTCTTGGTAATTGCAATGTAATTACCTTAATTCCAATGAAATTCACCCTTTAAAGTAATGTAAGAGAAAAAAGGAACTTTCCTGCTGTACTGTGGATCTGTTCTCAGAGCCTATGGGCAGTATGTCATCCATGGAGGTGAACGTGGACATGCTGGAGCAGATGGACCTGATGGACATCTCCGACCAGGAGGCCCTGGACGTCTTCCTGAATTCCGGTGGAGAGGACAGCACTGTGCTGTCCCCTGGTTTAGGTAGGAGTGGAGAGCCCTGCAGAAATGGAACCAAGGGCTCCCATCTCCCTCCCCATCACGAGCCACTTCTACCAGGCCATCTTCCCACACACTGGATTTTAAGTATCTTTCCCTGCAGCCTTCACTGACAGGAGTTAGGACGGTTTTCCCCTGCACCTGCCCAGTGGAATCCCGTGGGCACAGCCACCGTGGAGCAGCTGCAATCCTGGGGGCACCATTCTATTTTCATTTGGCAAACATTTGCCAAGGCACCAGACCTGTATGTGGCCTCACTCCATCTTACAGTTCTTCAGGCTGTGTCCTTTTATATGTACATCACTCCACAGCCAGCTTATGACATACTACAGAACTTCTACATACGAAGACGATTCTCTGAGTTACAGTTCCACAGGTGCTGTTTCCCAAGTCCTCTTACCTCATCCTCTCAGCCCTGTTCTCAGAAAGGCTGCTACACACAGCACTGAGGGGTGGTAGGCTGCCTTTTTCTGGAGGAGGAGACTTAATATCGTGAGGGCCTGTGGAAATCTTGATTCCTCAAAGAATTGAATCCCCATGAAACTGGAGACCTGCCAAATGGTCAATAATTCTGACTTTGTCTCAACACTGGTGTTCCAAAATAAATTACTTACGTAGATTAAAGTTTCCAGGACTGCTCCATTCCTTACCCTCAGGCCTTTAAAAAGCACATGGTTTGGGCATTACACCAGTGCAGAGCTCTGTACTTCCCTCTGAGGCAGGGTGGCCAGCTCGGGTAGCCTCTGGGGCCTCCCTTAGCGCCACACCCAGGGTGGCTCATCACGGGAACAGCAGCCCCTGCGCATGGTCAGCTGTTGAAGGTTGTAGCTCCTAACTGTCAGTACGTCACACATTTGTTTGTTCTTTTCCAGAGCCTGAACAGGACAGCTGTCAGAGCGGAGTAACTCTCCAGGTTCCACATCCATCCGAACACCCATCCCAGCCGCCTTCCTCATCCTTCACCCACACCAACCCATCCACCCCAGACCTGGGGGAAGGAGGGGACTGTCCGGTGGTGCAGTCTGACGAGGAGGAGGTCCAGGTAGACACCGCCCTGGCCACGTTACACAGTGACAGAAAGGCCACCCCAGACATCAGTGATGATAGTGACTCAAATCCGGACATCTGAATGGTCAGCTGGGCACAGAATCCACCTGCATAGCCAGGTTTTTGTACAGAGGGTCTTGATTTTTACATGGTTGCCAATAATGGGCAAGAAATTGCCTGAGAGAAGGGCTAGCTAACAATAAAGTTGGAGGAATTTAACTGAAAAGAGTATGCATCCAGTTTGTACAGGAGGGAAAGGTGTTCCCCCGCCTCCATCCTCAAGGACAGCATAACTGAAAGTTCCCTATGCATGGTGAGATGCTGGGGCCCAGGGGTTGTGGGTAGGGGAGATTTCTCGGTGGTGGGCACAGTCTGGAGTGAAACCTGAACACGAAGCCCTCACAGGCAGACATTTCTGCTTGCAGTCTGTACAACACACACCTGAGCCCAGAGGACCACACCAGTTTGAGCAAAAGCAGCATCCTTCCTCCTGCAGAGAAGTTTCTCTGCTTCCTGGCCCATCCAGCTCCAGGAGGACAGGACCTTGAGCAGTGAGAGCCTCCCAGGGGAGCTCTGGCCCAGCCCCAGGCCACCAGCAGATGGCGCTCTATGTGAGCAAAATGAAAATGCTTCATCAGTACCTCCACGACAGGCAGCGGGAAGACTGCCCGCCGCATTCACTCATCTTCCACGAGACAGACAAATGTCCAAAAACTTTGTTTTTATTATTAAACCTTGTAGTACAAACCTGAAAAGTAAACAAAAAACTGGCAATAAACCACATGAAGTCTCCCCTCTCAAGGGAGGGAGCAGAGCAGCGCTAATAAATTAAATGTCAAACTGTAAGCCATAGGCAGAAGTTTACTGTCAAAAAGAGGGAAAAGTACACAGCAAGGCCATAAAAACCAGACAACCACATTGGAAAACACTTGACCGTTTATGTCATCGTTAAATATTCCAAAACAGTTCAGTCTTCTGCAACAACGACCAACAAAGTGGATCCTAGGACACTCCTGGCAGGCCCCAGCGGCCGCTCAGTGCAGCGTGGGGAGCTACAGGACTGGTGGTCCAATTATGAAACAGAACAGCTTGTGAAAACACTTTCCCTTTTTATTCCACACATACTGTACACACAACCGGAGAAGGGCAACAGCTACTCCATTATTATTTTTGTTGTTGTTCAGTGATGTAAGCAGCACTTATAAAATGTTACAAGAAAAACCCTGTAAGCATCCAATCCAACCGATGAAGAAACTGAAATGTAAGGCTTTTCTTCATCTTGTCTTTTCACCCCCCTTCCCTCCCCCCACCGAGAAAAGGCTCAAGTATTTAAAACAATTTACAGGTGTATGTACAAAAGGGATGGGATTTTTTTTCTTTTTTTCCTTTTTGTTAAAACATGAAGAGAAAAAATAGACAAGGAGGAACACAAATGCATTTTCACATTCAAAAAAGAACTGCAGACCTAGTGGCTCTAAATGTGATCATGGAGGAAAACAAATCTCAAATGAAAGATTAATGCTGACGTGTGAAGGTGCGCAGGACAAGAAGCAGTGGGATGAGGATGGAATGTTCAGGAAGATTGCACATTGATGACCACGAAGCACGCAGCGCTTCAATCACGTGGGTGTTTTTTCTCTTTTTTTTTCCCCCCCTTAAGGATGCTATTGAAGGGTTTTTTGATAAAGTAGCCAACAGCACCAAAAAATAACAGAATGGATTTCCTAATGAAATCAGGCACAGGTCTCCCTCAGTGACCCTCCAAGGCAGGCGGTCTTTGTCTTCGTCCTCTCCCTCCAACGGATGCATAGTGATGTGCTGGTACCGAGAGCCTAGCTGCTCAAACCTCCACATGTTGCCTGTGGTTAAGAACCAAAGTCGGCCTTCAGCTGCCAGGACCACCCAACAAAACAAAATCAGGGCTCTCCGGATTCAGAGTTACAAATTCCTCTTGCACATGACAGAAGAAAAGACAGCCAAAAGTAAAGCCATTTCAAGTTTTTTTTTTTTTTCCTGTGTGTATGTGTGTGTGTGTATATATATATATGTCTCCTATCCCTTTTCCAATCTAGAAAAATCTGCTCACATGACTGGTAAGTTAAAATTTGTTCTCCAAACTTCACCCTCTTCAAAAAATGGGTTTAAAAAGCCTTTTTCCCCCCAACAGTTACAAAAAAAACGAAACAAAACAAAAATCAAAACAACAAAAAAAAGGCTTTCGTCAGCCACAGGGGCGATATAAAGTAATACAGCCCCTCAAGGGTTTTAAAACAGTGGGTATACGGCAGTTTCCAAAATCCGACTGCAGTATCTAGGTATTCTAAGTAGAAAAAAAACTTCAACAGTTTAATGCTAAAACAAAATTAGTTCTCTAAAACCAGAAGAAAATCTTCTTTAGAGCTAGTGCAAAGACAGCTTGTATCCTACAGCAAGTACTCCAAACTAGAATATAATAATTACAAAAAAATATATATAAATCAACCACGGGTTGGCATCTTCATGATGAGCTTGAAGCACTTTTGGATGAGCCAGAGGATGACAGCCGGGACGGCGGCACGGCCACCGTCGCTCTCTTGCGGGGGCCTCTTTTTGGTGTGGGTTTACTGAGACAGTTCTCAATGCTGCCGTTTTTACTGGACACTTTGCCACAGATCTGATTGACCAGACTGATGATTTGCTCCTGTTGGGACAAAGAGACACCGTTAACACAGCAGAGGGGAATCCTGAGGTCTGTGGAGCAGCTCTTAAAAGGCTGGCCACCAGGACCTTGGGAGGTCTCAGTCAGCCTTTTTTTTGGGGGGGGGGGAGGGGAGGAGTGGGGGTGCGACAGCGCAGGCCTGGAGCTTGAACTCAGCCTGGGCACATGTTGCCCCTGATTTGAGCTTTTCCACTTGAGCCACAGTGCCACTTCAGGCTTTTTCTGTGGTTAACTGGAGATGAGAGTCTCACAACGTTTCTTGCCTGGGCTTCAAACCACGATCCTCAGATCTCAGCCTCCTGAGTAGCTAGGATTACAGGCACGAGCCACCAGTGCCTGTCTCCAACCATCTTTTTCTTAAAGGATTCTGAGACTCTGCCAAACGAGACATGCTGAGCATCCTCAAATGCTTTCCTTGTCAGCCCAAAGCAGACGCCTCCATCCTGACTGCACTGCCAGTGGCAGTGAGGGTGGAAGTGTGTCAGGTGCTTCTGAAGCACAGCATTCCCGTCCTAGCTGTGTCTGAGGCACACAAGTTCCAGCGCAATGTAGTCAGAACCACGCAGCCAAGGACCATGGCTGGCCACTGAAGAGGGGCTTGCCATGCTGTGTGCATGGCACACAGCCAATTAAGAAGGGATGGTGCCAGTGTCTGTGGATACTTCCAGATGTTCCGGCTAGGGGGGCCCTGCTGGCACCTGGTGGGGAATGCTGCCCAACGCCCTGCTGTGGGGGGACATGTACAGAGAATTGACTGTGTCCAAGCTGGCCCTGAAAGCCATGGCCCAGGAATCTGAGAAGGAGAACACCTCATGGGGTGGGAGGGCCTAAGCTTCCGAACGTGCCAATGGGGAAGGCCGTGGCGGGTTGCAGTGACAAAGCCAGATCTGCAAGGCGCTGAGCAGAGCCACAGCAGAGGGGTCAAGAGGAGGTCAGTGGCGGTCTCCCAACAGAATGTTTCTTTCCACCATGATACCATCCCATTACCAGTGGGCCATTTGCTCATCAGGGTGGAAGTCAGTGCGCTACGGGAAAGAAGCAAAGTGCCAGAGGCTGTGTGGCCTGCAATCGGCAGCACAGAGATGAAAATGCAGATGCAGCTGTCATCGTCCTAAATTCCACAAGGCCAGGGGACAGTTGGCTACATGCAGGGCAGGGCCTTGCCAGGGCTCTGTCCCCGCAGGACGGACTGAGCAGGGACTGACCTCGTCGTAGCGGTACATCAGCTTCAGCCCGCGGCAGGTCTTCTGCTTCTCCACGTGGCGCAGAGCGCACTCCAGGCAGAACACGACGTTCTCGTTCTCCTGCACCACCTGTAGGCATAGCACAGCTCTGAGTGGAGGAAGCCTACCAGCTGGTATGGCCACAGGACACACGGGCAGCAAAACGGCCACTGCTCAGCAGCAGCTTCTTTAATACAGCTGGAGACGAACGCAGAGCCCTACACCCCCTTGGGGAGACCAGTGATGCCACCAAAACCCAGCAGGACATGCCAGCCTTCATCCAGGAGGCTCGGGGAGAGAGCCCAACGGGCCAGGAGAGAGCAGAGATGCCGCCGGCTCGGGTGAAGGACTCTGGCACTCCCCTGAGTTCAAGTCTTACTTTGTTTAAAATGTAAACAAGGAAAAATGGCGTCTGGACACCTGAGATGGGATTTGGTCTTGTGTCTAATCGAAGAGCAGAATATGAGCTCTCACAACATGAAAATGGCCCGACAGAAAGACGCTGCCTCTGAAAGGCACGGAGGAGCAACGCGCTTCACGGGAAGTGATGTGCATCAAACACACAAGTACAACTTAAACGCTTTCACTTCAGCAAGTGCCAACTCGAAAAGCAAAGCCTTCCAGAGGCCACGTTGAAAACTGTCATCCCCAAACGCCTGCAGGACCAGGCCAGCACCACATGACAGAAAATCGCTCCTACTAATGATAAACACAGGAAGGATGCAGCTTGAGAGTGAGAAAGATCTGCTGTGACGCTAGGCTGGGACATTGTCGTGGCAATGCAGTGGCTCCCACCCTCCTTTTAAGCTTCTGGAGTTGCGAGGAGTGTGTGACTGAACTGGGAGAGGCAATCCGTTCCACTGTGGGAGAGCAGAAGCGCTGGCCTTGGGTGAGGAGAATCAGGGCCAGGCCTCAGTGCTGCCCACCACAGGCCAGCAGAGCAACTGCACAGCGCTGCGGGACCCCATCACTGGGCATTTGACTTAAGCTGCTCATTCCTGACCACGGATGGAGGGAAGTGGCCCTGCAGGTGGGCCAGGGCTGTCATGGGGACTATGCACTGCGGGCACCTAGCAGCGGCTAACCCTGGGTCCCAGCCGGGTGTGTTCTGACTCAGCTGTGTTGGGCACCTGCCTTCCACAAAGGTTTTTTTCCGTGGGAAGTGGTGTCACTGTGGGAGCACAGCAGAAGAAAGGGGACAAGGCAGCGAGGCGGGCAGGGCAGCGTGAGGAAGCGTGGAGGAGCAGAACTGGAACACGGTCTGGGCACCCCGGTGCGCTGCCCCGCACGCAGACGCCACAGTGTCTCTGGGCTGAGGTACTGGGGAGTGAACAGGGCAAATGGGCCCCGCCCCATGGGAAGGAGGACAGCAGGGACACTCACCATGGACAGATAGCACAAGTGCTGGCAGACCTGACACCTCCTCTCTGACGTCTCCAATTGCAGCCACTTTCGAGGCTTTTTCTTCCCATCTGCCACCGCGCTGCTGCTGTCATGGCTGCCGTAGCGCGCGGAGGAGTGAAGGCCGGCTTCGAACAGCTGCCTGCGCTGCCTCAGCTCTGTATCCCTGTCGAAATGACGGAGGGGGAGCCGCTGTCAGCAAGCGCAGTGGGGCTTCTGTGCGGAGCAGGTGGCCAGGCCACTAACCACCAGAGGGGGATGGGCGGCCGTGCCATCCACGATAACCCACTGGGAACAAGATGCACACGTGGGGCGGGGCGGGGCCGGGCCCGGAGCCCAGCTCACCTTCCCGAAGGGTCGCCTGGGGACCAGACAGACAAGCCCTACCCCACAGGCCACATGATGGCAGGACTTTGCCCTGAGATGAGGCAGGACACACACACAACGCAGAAGCACGTTCGCTCCACCTCTCAGAAGATACAACACACTATTTGCTGGCTTTGTCATCAGAGACTCAGCCGTCATGGGTAGAATCCGCATGGTGGCCCCAGAAGCCTCTCCCTAGGAAGATGCAGACACCTCCACAGTAAGGAGGGTGAGCAGGGTTACAAAGGAGCCAGGTAAAAAGCCAGGCTGGGCTTCAGTGTCTGGTGGGCCTGCTCCGCCCATCACTGCCGGAGGAAAGCTGGGCTGGGGCAAGAGGCAGCGCCATGGACCAGAGGCGGAGCCCAGCGACCTCACGCACGCGGTACACGCCACCTAGCAAGAAAAGCAAGGGTTGGGCACTACCGGAAGCTCCCCGTACCACTTCCGCCGTCGAGAACTGTCAAGGTGTCTGTGGCAGAGTTCCAACACGATCAGGGTCCAGACTGCCTGCCTCCTACTCACTCACGGGATGCCCTCACACAGGACACTGACCCCCAACAGCAGGCAAGAAGACAGGCACCCCACCCCTCACAGACGCCCCACCAAGCCTCTGCAGCGGGCCTCATTAGCACAGGGGCGGCCAATGATGGGTTCTCAGCCCTGCTCCGCTGTGGCTGCCCTACGTACCTGAGCTCATCCAGAAGGGCTGAGATGGTACTGAGAGTGGGGCCGTTCTCCTTTTTCGCTTCTGCTTGTGCAATCTGGTACAGCAGCTTCTCCATGGAGAATGGCTTGGCGATATGGCGGCGCTTCATCTCCTGAAAGAGATGAAGTCTTGGCGGCTGAGTCCCAGGGGTCAGCAGCTGTCAAGCTTCTTGGGAATGTCCAGACTTTCCACACTGTGTTCATATCAAGGCTATTAAAAAATAAGATGTCTTTGCTTGCCCAGAGGGTGTGGATAATAGAGCATACCACAGCACCAGCAGCTAGGAAGCCGAGGTCTCAAGCTGACACCAAGCAGAGACCTCCACGCCCACCAGATGAAGTGTGAGGACTTTTGTATCACTGAGGTTGGCCAGTAATGGACATCAAACCCTCCATGGCACAGACCAACACCTCTTCTCAAGTAAAACCTTCTGCCACCCCTAAGGATTTCAGAGACATATTCCAGCACAAAAGTCTATACATGCATGCTCAGTACTGCACAGGTCCTACCACTTGGACAGGGAACTGGCTTGCTGCTCACCTTGGCAGTCTCGAAGCCCATACTTGTCCACTGGGTGGTAGCAAAGTGCACGGTTTCTGAGACGCTGTAGCCACAGCACACTTTGGACACGAAGGACCCTGGGAAGCAGACGACGAACTGGCCGCTCTGCTGCACAGTCCTGTGCACCTTGATCCCCTCTTTGCACAGCACCTCCGGGGAGATCTGGAGAGACAGGGCCAGTTGACGTGGCACACACACGTACCCGACTGCATCCTCCGTCATCCCCGCAGCTCTGTTGACAGAAGCATTCTCTCCCCCTGCACTCCCCAGTTTCTGTTTCTCCTTTAGAAAGTAAAAGGCTAATTCCTCCAACAGCCAAGCAATTGTAAAGCAATGAGGGCCTAAACACTGACTGCAGGTTCCCGCGTGGCAAAGGTCACCGTGAGCCTACAGCTTACACATAGCCTGTCCCACCCTACTGGGCACGCAGGGACCGTTAAGAGGACAATTTTAAATGCCCAGGAGGCTGCAGTCTCTGAGCTGGACCAGAGAAAAGATGAGCACAGTCAGGAAAGCGAGACGTGCTACAGAGCGAGAGTGGCCCTGCGCACGCCTTCTCATAACTCCTGGATGCTCGGCAGCCTGGGACTTTCTGCAAGTGTAGAGTAGTGGGAACAAGAGCTAGAGTATTAGTGCTGCCCCAAAGCCCCCCCCCGTACACACAAACACCTACGTATATACCCACACAATGAGCCAGACCCTCTGCAGAGGCCAGCCGCATCCCAGAATCAGAAGGTTGGTGACTGCCCCCCCATTTCTCCCCAGCCTCTCGGGGAGGCGGGCAGGTGACGTACCATGACATTGCTTTCCAGCATCTGCAGCCCTGGGGTACCGTTGGCCTGCAGCAGGGTGTGGACCACGTCCTCCAGCTTGTTCTCCTCCTCAGCAGGAATGCAATACCTGGGTCATGAGACAGCGTCCGCAGACACGGTTTGGTGAGGCCCCCGTGCGCGTGCTGCTGCTTTCTGCCACACACGCAGGCGCAGGCGCAGGCCCGGAGCACTGGCAGCGCACCAGGCACTGTCACCGCCGGCCTCTGCCGCCCAGCACGCAGCCAAACCACAGCCAAGGCCGCCATGCACACGGCTCATCTTTTATGCAGATCTGACCCACATGGTGAGCCAAAAACCCTTCAAACCAAAAACAGATGTCCAAAACCCACACAAATCAGAACCAGATACAAGTGCCGACTCCAGCGGCCTCTTATGAGCGTGCAGGAGCAGCGCAGCATCTGGCGCACTCTGGAGGGAGGAATTCCTACGATCTCATCCTTACCATGGCAGCCAGGACGAACTGGGGCAGCAGCCAGGAAAGGTAAAAGACCCTCCCCCCCAACCTCCACCCCTGCCCTCTTCACATATAGCTAGGAAGGAGCCAGGCCAGTGTGCACACCTCCTTCAGGCAGCCTGTGCAGCCGAGGCCATAGCTGCTAGTTAGCGGAGGGGAGGTGCAATCCACAGGGACCTAGGTGTCTGTGTGTGCCCGCCTACACTGATTGTAGGCAGCAAGATACAGGAGGGGCAACACACAGGACCTGTGCCAGGTACTCGGAGGGGTCTGGCATACAGGTGAGGATGCAGTGGGGGCAGAGGATAGATGTCTCCAGGGGAGACATCTATAGAACGATCTGGAATAGCCTCTTAGCAAGGGGAGTGCAAGGTCCCCCTCTATGTCCAACTTGCCCATCAAGATCCACAGCCGTGTGAACAAGGGCTGCAAGAGACAGATCTGGGGACTGCAGGGGGTCCCAGGACACCTGAGTAGACTTGAGAAGAGACAGAAAGGGGGACTGAGTGCTGGACATCAGGCTACCAAAGCCAGCAAACGCAGCCGTCAACCACAACTGGAAACGGATTCTGCTGGTCCTTCCCAACCGCTCCTCTCCCCCCCCCCCCCCCCCCCCCCGCGCCTTTCCCACCCTGGCCAAGTGGGCAGCCGCACCTCTGCCGCACGGGCTGTCTAGGATGAAACCGTTTCCCTGGAGGCCGAAACCTGGGGTTAGTCGCTGAGGGAAGGCACCAGCCTCCTTTACGGGCCTTTTAAAACATGTTTACATTATTTCAAAGCCAAGAGATTCTGTTACTGATTTGTGATTTAAATACAGGATTAGTAACATAAATCACATGTTGTAAGAAAAACCACACGCCATCGAGTGCTCTGATCACGTCCCTGGCTTGTCTTTCTGCCCTGTCACCTAGGGTCCAGGGATGGGACTTCAAAGAGCCCACAGCATCTTGTGTTTCACCGCTTCTAACTCAGCACTGAAGCTACGAAAACACCCTGCGACGGCTGCGCCTTGCCCACGTCGCAGATGAAAGCCAAGGAAGGCCTGAGGAGCCTGCGGGGTCAGGACGCTGCGGCTCCAGACAGGCTCCGGAGGCGCTGACCACAAGCCCTGCCCTGCGCAGGTACAGCCCAGACTGCGCAGGCCACAGCTGTCTGCCTGCCTTCGGCCTAAGACCACCACCCCCAGCTCTGCACCATCACCCACGGGGTGGCTGGACAGTGGTGCTGGGTACCCCCTCCGCACCAAGTCCCCTCCTCCTCACTCCTGTCCCAGACCACCCACACGGATGCCCACACGCCGCTGCCCACTGGCGCGTGGGAGGGGAACTGTCAATGCTGAGACTTAGTTTATTTAATAAAAAGGATGCTTCATCACCCCGTTAGGACAATAAACACAGTGCGGGATGAATGTGATGCTGGCAGTCTGTGAGCCAAGGTGTCGGACTACAGTCAGTAATTTCCCATCCATTGTCCTCAACAAAATACCAGAAGACCCAGCCCTGAGCAGGGCCACGCCACGTGACACCTCCACTAGCAGGAGCTGCCTCCTGGGGCCACAGTGTTGCCCACGGGATCCTGCTGAGCAGGAGACCCTGGCTCTAGAGAGATGTTGCATGAAGTCCATGCAAGTGGCCCCCAGACCTGACAAATCAGGCCACGGAGGGAAGGATGGCATGCGTGGCCACTGCTACCAGGCTTCTTCCTATGGAACTTCAGTTGCTGCTCCTTATCACAACATGAAAACAACATAAAACTATAAAGTTCCCAGAAGGAGTCAGCCGCAAGCAGAGTTCACCAAGACAGCAATGACCAGGGACGATCAGAAACCTCCACCAGGGAAATGAAAACATCCGCTGACACCTTGAGCCTTGGCGGGAAGGCGCACGGCAGGCCGGGAAACTGGTTTCCGCAGTCCCCATTCACAGTGCCCAACCTCCCAGCATGCCAGGGGCCATCTCTAGCCACCAGAGAGGGCTAGTACTCACCAAATGCAGTCAGCACCAGTGTGTAAGTAGTCAATATATGGAAGGTGATTTTGGTCTCGAGACCAGCATGAGGTAGAAAAGACCATGCCAATATTGAGCCAGGGGATAGTCACTCCTAAACATAAAGGGGGAAATTTTTACTCTAAGGTATAGTCTCAGGAAAGCAGCCATGGAGCACAACTTTCTTGCTGAGCATGGCGACACACACACCTGTCATCCCAGATACAGGCAGAGGAAGGGAAGACTACAAGTTAGAGAACTGTCTTCAAAACCAAAAATAACAACGTAGGTGTCAGGGGTTTATCTCAAGTAGTTAAATGCCTGCCCTAACCTGTGCAACCTTGGGTACAACCCAGTACCACCTAACACTTAAAAAAATAAACTGCATTAACTATCTTCCCTAAAAAAAGAATGCAGTTCAAACCCCAGACAGAATTCACATAAAAAGAAGGCACCTGATCTTCCCTACAGAAATTCATTTCTACAGAAATGAATCCAAGAATGAAAACACTGGCAAAACGGTAGTCTTGTATGTGTCTTAGTTAGCAAGATCTGACTGCACTGGTCACTGCCGATGGAGCCATCGGGCGAGGAGCGGAGGACGGAGGGAAGTGCTGAGCCTCCGGCATGGGGTCGAGGTTTCCTTCTTCAGGTACCTACCACTTTACACTGACTACCCTCTCTAGGACACTTGGCTTTGCCTAAAAACGGGCCAGGCACCCCATCACTGCTGAGCCCATTTTTGATCTTGGCCACTCAGCTTTGCCCAGCCCTGAAGGCATGTGCTCACTGTCTTACAGTCCCAGCGTTGTTCTCGTTCCCCAAAGCCAAAGCAAGTCTCCATGCACACCCGCTCCCCCTAGTCCCCACCCCCACCCCAGGCAGCGACCCCAGAGCCGGGCCCTTACCAGGCACAGCACCGAGGTGACGCAGGATGGACCCTGTGTTATTGGGGAGGACGGTGAGGTTCCATCCATGCCTGCAGAAGAAGAGACGAGGGTGTCACACACCAGCAGGGAAGGACGCCTTCTAGTGCCGACGTGGCTAAGGGGTGGCAGCGTTACCTTGAAAAGGGCTCTGATTTGCCCACCGGGAACCCACTGCCGTGAGTGTTCGTGTCCACCTTGCCGCAGTGTACTGCCACGTGGCAGTCCTTCTCTTCCACTAGCCTCCAGTACTCTTGCTGTAGGGAGGAGGAAAGGGTCATGAGCAGGCGCCTAACCACACTGCGTCACCATGCGCCATGCACATGTCCACCACAACACTTGGCCAAGCGCCACCCAGAGACTTGCTTGGACCACATGGGGGCGCAGATGTGAGCAACTCCAAGTGGGGCTTCAGGACAGGGCGATGCTCTGGGGGAGCAGTGACAAGGTGCACACATTATTCGTTTTTCGGCGGTTGTGGGGTTTGAACTCTAGGCTGGGTGCTGTCCCTCAGCTCTTCAGCGCTCTACCACTTGAGCCACAGCACCACTTCTGGCTTTTTCTGCTTATGTGGTGCTGAGGAATCGAACCCAGGGCCTCATGCATGCGAGTCAAGCGCTCTATCACTGAGCCACCTTCCCAGCCCAAGGCACACACATTCTGACAAAGGGGGCCATGGCCGGGCAAGCACAGCAGCGAAGTCTGCTGCGTGCACACTGTGGGGAGTAGGACTTCCTGCCACAGAACTGTGCACATGCAAAAGGCCAAGATGGCGAATACCATGGTATGTGCAGATTACCACAGTAAGAGAATTCATTGCTATGAAAGGGTTTTAATCAGAAGGCAGTGGCCAAAGACAGATACTTCCTACGCTCCTAGAGCGGCCTAGCACACAGCACATGCACACGCCTTCCACATTGGGGGGGGGGGGGAGGGAAAGAGGAGGGTATGGATGCCAGCTCAGCTGTGGGGGACCCTCACCCCGGCAGTTTAAGAAGCTATCCAGGGAACCTTAATGGGTTCTACCTACACAAACTTAGAGACAAGGAAGGGTCAGGAGTGTACTGACTAGAAGAGCTGCGGTATCACTTTGTCCTGCCGTACTGCAGAGCTCACCGCTGTCTTCCCTAATCTCAGCAGGCCCACGCTGCAGGACCGTGGTTGGTGAGGAAGCTCACCCAGTGAGCACTCGGCACTAAGTAGTACAAGGACATGGTGATCTTATCCAGAGTGCTGGGTGGCCACAGGGGAGGAGAATTCCATGAACGACACCAAGTCCTTGTGCGGCTGGGGGCGCATGGGGTCTGAGCTGGCCTCCACTATGCACAGTAGGAAGCCTGGAGGGAGGTGGGAGGCCAGGAAGGGGCATTCTGTAAACACCACAGCCAGCTCCAGCTGCTGCCCCCAGCCAGACTGAAATTAGAATTTTAGCAAATCTTTGTTGTGGGTTTAAATATTTATACAACTTCTAGAGCAAACCCTAGACTTTGAGGAATGCCTGAATAAAAGAAAACCACAGAATGAGCTGGCGTGTATTACATGCTGTAGCAATGACATCCTGAACCTGTGGGAGTCCCAGGAGGACACAGGCAGGACAAGAGACATTTTGGCTCAAAGACTCAGCCCCCAAGTTACTTCCTCTCATTGACATCTCTACTACAAATGCCACTGAGGTTTCTGGAAGCAGCTGAGATGGCCACATGGTCCCCAAGTCAGGACCCGGATAGCAGCATGGTTGACAGAATGAATGGGAAGCAGCAAGTATCCAGGTAATGGCCTGGGCCAGGTAGCACGTCAGGTACACAGGTAGCATGTCAGGCGCCAAGGCAGCCTATGCCCACCGGCAGAGCTAAATTCTAAAGGGGATAACAATGGCACGAACCGTGCGCATGCAATGCAATTGCAGGTAATGGCACTGGGGCTATGTGGGTGATATGGGGTGGTGCAGCCATGCAAACATGAGCAGGAAATTCCACCTGGTCAGCATGCTTAGAGGGAAAAACCCATGCAAGGCTAAATGTCAGAGAGGTGACACCATTAACATCCGAAGATGAGGCCCGGGCTGCTGTGGACCAGGAATTGGAGTTGGGTTCTTGCCCCTTTACAAACCAACTGCTGCCACTGCCAAGGCCCCAATGCCAGCAGCTGGAGGGTCGCAGGGACTCTGCTGAGCTGGAGCCAAGCGGTGTAAATAAACAGATTCCTTGTGGTCCTGCAGGGCCTCACACACAACTGTCCCTAATTGGTCTGGGCACAGAAGTGTTCGCTGTCTTTCCAGCCTTGCACTAACTCAAAAAAAGAGAGTTGGCAGGGGCACAAAAATGGCAACCTGCCAGTCTTGTTAAATAAAAAACAGAAGAAAGAAAAAAAAAAAAAAACCAAAACTGTGGTTTCAAGGAATTCTCCCACACAAGGTACATGGAAGATGGAAGAGAAGCTGAGCATGCACAGGGAGGGACTCACACCTCCCAACAACGCTCACTTCAGGAGAACCATGGTCATCGCTGTCACTTCCACGTACTGGATGTGTTTATAGCAACACAGCACATGCTCAATTGAGGATGGCCAGCCTGCGTGCCCGCTGTTCTGTGCGACCACCCCCGGCCTCACTCACCTCGATCTCAGCTGGCGCAGGTTCCTTGCTGAAGCACATGTTCATGATATTTCTCGCTGTTCGATAAAAAGTCGTTAGAGAAACAGACCTTCCCTGAAACAAAAGAAAAACAGAAGGGTAAATAAAGCTTAAGACACAAAGCTGGGGCCCGGGTCTCAAGTCAGGCCCCCCCTCTGTCTGGTCTCTGCCCTGTGGCGTTCCTGCAAGCCACGAGCTATGTTGAGTCTCAAGTTGATAACAAGTAGATGGGGAAAAAACAGACTTCACATAAAGCACCAGAATTCAGGACAGCCCACCTGCTGACCACACGAGCAGCAAACTGATCCATTTCCTGCCAGACAGAGCTGCCAGTCCAGAGGACTGCACAGGTGCAAGGCCTACTGCACATGGAGGGAGTCTCCGGGGGATACATTCAAAAGCACCTTGCACTTGCAGCAGAAATCCTCAGTGACCCCCATGAGAGAGATGGCTCAATCTAGCAGAGACGAATAGCCCTGACCTCAGCTTCCAACCCCATCACTGGCCACAGGGGCAGAGGCCGCCTCCTGCATGCTCCCGGGAAGGGGGGGTGGGGAGGCCCACACATCACAACTTCTGTCCATAGGGCTTTGATGAAACATCCCAAAGTTCCCACAGAGAGAAGAGGGCTGCTCAAGTCATAGGCTAATTATTCAGCACGAAGACTGGAACTTGATTTTAACTGTCTTGTGGTGTAAATGACCAAACAGGGTGCTAAAAATGTTGACAAAAACTGTTTCCCTACAAATCCCCACAATTTCTTACCTTTCTGTTGTTAACAAAAACAGAACTGCAAGGAACTGCAGAGAACCCCAGAAGAGCACAGCAGTAAAGGTGACAGAGCATCAGTGCTGCTGGTCGAAGTCCCAGCATGGAGAGAAGCCCTGTGAGCCGCCACCAAGCTCCATCAGATTTTTTGCAATTGAACCTAAAAATCTACCTCTGAAAGAATGTGCTTTTTACAACAGCAGTTCTGCCTTGCACCCAACACATGCTCACAGCACTGGCCTTCTTAACTAAAACAGTAAGGAATACGGACAGTGTCTCATTTCTGAAGTTGGCTCCTTAGAAGACGAAGCCAGACTTCTGGGGCGGCAGGTGCAGGGCTGGGGAAAGCTGTGTGTGCTTCTATTGGCTGCTCCTAGTCCCACCCCCTCCCACTGCAGAGGTCAAGGGGGAGATGGTTGTTGACGGCGAAGCCCTGGCCCTGGGGAGTTGGCCATGTGAAGCAGAAAGGAAGTGCCTAGAACATACGCTGATGAAGAGGCCCCATCGATCTGAGAGTCCTAGCTTAGGCGGCTCCGGGAGAAATAGGTGCTCAAAAGTGACAGGTAGAGAACTGACTCATGCACCCTACAGATTTCATCCCCTGGCAAGATGCACACACACTCATATACTATTCATGAAAAGTCTGAGGGCCCCAGAGAGGCAAACACTCTGCCCACCATGCCGAAGGGTAGAGGCAATGCGGCCTACAGCACGCCAGACCCCAGAGACCTACATCCTTCCTTCCCCACTGCTCTCCAACCTGCCTCTGTGTAGAAATACACTGTTCAGACATAGAATGTAATTGCCACAGTGACTATCGAGGGGTCGAGGACTGAAGCACACCTTCCCTTTACCCTCTTCCCCGGCATAAGGAGGAAGAAGCCCCTTACCAGATGCCAGTACCTCAATGGAGACATTCTAGGCCTCCACAGCTGTAAGCCAATGAGCTCCCATCCACTCTGAATTTCCCACTCTGTAGTACTATTACAGCGGCAACACACTTGGTTCCAACAGGGCAGTGTACAGACCCCGCCGCCCCCCTTCCCCAGCCTGGTGCTCTGGGGAACCTGTGGCCCCTACCTTATAGATGCACTTGTGGAAGTCGTTGAGGACACCTTTGTCCTCCTCCTCCTCCTTGACCACTTCCTTTTCCTGAGCGAACAGTCGCCGCCGGCCCGTCTTCAGCGGGGCCTGGCTCACCTCCTTGAGCTTGCTGCGGAAGCCGTTCCTGGGAGCCACGCCATGGATGAGCCCATTCTTGGGCTCGAAGCGGGGCAGAGGATGGAACTTGTGCTGGTCGTTCTCCGTGTGGCCCTCCAGCGGTCCCTTGCGCTTCTCCAGGATCTCCTTCTCCATGAGCACCTCCTTCTCCAGCCGCCGGTGCTCCTCGGGGGACAGCGAGTCGTAGGAGAGCAGGTACTGGCAGTAGGCCTCCTGCAGCTTGGCCAGCCGGTCCTGGGCAGTTTTGGGGATGCGCAGCATGTCTGCTAGTTTGTTCCATTTTTTGAGGTCAGTCACTTGCTGCATGCCGCCCATCTCGTTAATCAGCCGGAAAAAGCAGGCCAGGTCGAGCTCGCAGCCTCCTGGGGCGGTGAGGGAGGGAGGGGAAAGACAGGGTGGCTGATGAGAAGGACATGAACACAACTTTTTCATCTGATTGCTTCCTGACTGCTGACGGCAAGCCAAGGGCACTGCCAGGCTCCGGGGTGAGAGCAATGAACAGTCAGTTCACTGTGCATGGAAGGATGACCAGTCCCCAAGAACGGATGCTACAAGACTGGTTAGAACTAGGCAGAGGCCAGGGAGGAGGTCAGGCAGGGAGGAGGGCGCAGTGTCCACCATGCATATCTCTGACCGTGCCCACACTGCCACCCCAGGAGGCAGTGATGAGGAGGGGCAGAGCCTGGTGAGGAGGCATGGGGCTGGCTGCTGATGGCATCTGTGTTTCAGCCCTACCTAGAACGTTTTCCTGCGGGAAATCATTGACACCCAAATGTGACCAAGTCCAAATTCCCCTGCAAACACCCAGACTCCCTCAGCCACAAGGAGATTCATGTTCAGGCTCACTGGATTTCCAAAGTAAGGACAAGATCTGCTCACAGGCCTATGGCTGCCCAGACACAGGCTTGCTTATTTCAGATGCACGGGCATACTCTCACACCCCGGAACCTACTGACAAATGTGTTGAAAAGGTTTAAATGCTGAGCCCAGAACTAAACTAGTCAGGAAGTGGAGCAACCTCCCGTGAGCCAATATAAAGGTGAGGAATCTTCCAGAGTAACTGGCTGAAAGACGATGGATGACCAAGGTAAAAAATTACAACAGAAATAAAACAGGGGCTGGGAAGGTGGCTCAGTGGTAGAGCGCTTGCCTTGCATGCCTGAGGCCCTCTGGGTTCGATTCCTCAGCACCACATAAGCAAAAAGGAAAAAAAAGCCAGAAGTGGCGCTGTGGATCAAGTGGTAGAGCACTAGCCCTGAGCTGAAGAGCTGAGGGACAGCGCCCAGGCCCAGAGTTCACGCCCCATGACCGGGACCCCCCCCCAAAAAAAAAGAAAGAAAGAAATAAAAGGAACAGGGCTGGGAAGGGAAAAACAGAGGGAATGAGGGGTGGGTCACTGTCCAAAATGATATGTACTCATTACCGGACTTGTGTAACTCCTCTGTATATAATCTTTATAATAACAATTAAAAACTTTAAAAAAAAATAAAGGGAAAAGGAAGCCTGTCTGCAGCAGAGCACAACCGCAGAGGCCGGAGCAGGCCCAGGCACTGTGGCCCACCAAGGAAGGGCCAAGGACACAGAGCGGGAGAACAAGAGCCTGGCCCAGCATGGGATGAGATGGGAGACAGAAGCTGGGGTCCCACTTACTATAATGGGGTGCTGATTTTGCTGCAGGTAAAGAGGAAGTGGAGAAACTGTCCCTGGCTTTGAGCAGAAGATTCCATGTGAATCATTCAATCTGTCCCACTGCTGGCCACGCGCTGCCTTGTGTTATAGAGGTGGGGCAAGAATCACTACCTCTGGGGGACACTATGAACAGATTAGCATAAATCCCACAGCACTTGAAGGGCACACAGTAGTTGTAAAGTGCAGAATCATCAAAGGCAACAATAACCCCTCATCTCCAGGGTCATGACGCTGCCAGGAAACCAGAAACCCCACCCCAAATCTGTGCTCACCCAAATCCTCCTGAGCACTAAGGCTCCCCTGGGGGCAGGGGCTGAGGGGTACAGGAAAGACCTACACAGGTGCTGTGGTAGATTTGGGAAGTGACTTTAAAGTTCGTCCTGTTTGATGCGACATGGCCAGGCTCACAGCCCTGGGCCTGAGGCCTCCTTGGGTAACGAGCCAAGTTAGTGCCGCCAACAGACTGGGAAGTGCTGTACACTTATGAGTGCTGGTGAAAAGAACAACACATCTTCTTCAGCGTAGAGAGCCCACCTCGCTCCTGGTGCTTCTGTAGTCACTGTGGCCTGCACCTATGACCTTCCGTCCCATGCCCTCTCAACAAGAGACTGCAAACCAAGAATCCATTCAGGTGTGCACTTGACAGCCACCTGCAGAGAGGACAGATGAAACCCCCACCTGCCAATTCTGGGCACTGCAATGAATGCTAAACCTCTCCCAGATCTGCAATCTGGAGACTCGACCTATTTCCTGTCCTGGATCTGGAGTCTAATGGGAGGAGAGCAATGTAGCATGGCAGTCTTCAAGTATTTGTCCCTATCCCCGCCCCGCCATGCAGCCTTGACCGAGGAAGCTCATCAAGGGGGGAAGCAGGAGGGCGGAGGAAGAGATCGTCAGGAGGGCTGCACAGCAAGGGCAGGCGCTGGTCCCCACACAGCTGGCTTTCGTATGTGCCGGCACATACGCTCAGTGCAGAAGCTGCTGGGGCACACTACATATCAGCTCCAGCCAGAGCAGCAACGACTCTCAGAAGAAACACAGTTCAACCTTTTGCCTACTGTTTATACAAAGGCCGAGATAATCATCAAAGAAACCAAAGCCCGGGGGAAAAATGGAGAGATATGAGGGGGAGGGAAAAGAGTGAAATATGCCAGAAATCTGTAGAGTGAGCAGGCTGAACTGTAAACCCCACTCCCATTTGCATGCTCAAGTGCAGGCCCCTAGAACTTCAGAACGTGATGGTATTTAGCTTTTAATTCATGTTCCTCCTACCTAAGTGCTGGGCTTATAGACATATGCAGCATACCTGGCTAGTAGTAGGAAGTTTACCAAGATGGACTTTAATCCAATCTCATTTATCAGAAAAAGCAATTACCACTCATTATAGAAGGAAAGTCCCAGAAGTGGCACTGTAGCCAGGGGTAGAGTGCCAACCTTGAGCACAAAGAAGCTCGGGGTCAGTGCCTGGGCCCTAGTACAAGCCCCAGGACTGGCCAAAAATAAAAAAAAAGGTTCCCCCCAAGAGGTAAAAGTCCATGTGAGAATTCAAGGCGAAGGTGTACCAAGGGGAGGCCTCAGCAGAAATCAACATTGCCAACAGCCTAATCTCAAACATTCAAACTGCAGAAATAAAATTTCCAGTGTTAAGCCAACAGCCTCTGGCACTTTGTGGCGGCCCTGGCCAATGACTCACCTTTTCCCTGAACCCTGCTCTCCCCAGAACCTAGAGGGAGCCTCAGGATCTCTGTCCAGCCACACCAACCTTGTCCCTGGCCATAAATGGCCAGGCCCCTTACCAGGGCCAGCAGGGGGGGAGGAGGCGGGTTCTACCCCCTGGACCTTACCTATGAGCGGGAGCTCGTCCATGGTGATGCCCTGAGATCTGAGGTGCTTCTTGATGCAGGCCAGTCGCTGCACGTTGGGGCCCCAGCGCCGGCCCAGCTTGTGGATGTGCTGGATCTGCGTGACAAACCGCATCTCGTCGTTGAGCTTGCACTCGGGCCGCCAGTCCGGAGGCGGGATCACCCGGCACATCCCGTACTTCTCCACCTGAGCCCGGACCGACTCGATGTAGATGAGCGGGTCGTGGAACTCCTTGGCGGAGGGCCTGAGGACGGGGATCTCGTCCATCGACGCCCACCCGGACTTGCCGCCCCCCTTCTCCGGCTTGCCCGGAGGCGGGTCGTGCGGCTTGTGCAAGGACTCGGGTTGCGAGGTAGAACGATTTTCACAGGAGGCGCTGTCCGTCTTGCCATGTGCTTGTTTGCCCAGCGTGCTCTTGGCGGCCGTGGCCCGCTTCGGCCGGTTCCTTTCCAGATTGCGCTCGGGCACTTCCTTCTTCACGTGTCCATTGAGCAGAGGCTTCTCTGCCGAGGCAGACGCTGCCACCGCCACCGCCGCCGCCTTTTTGCCAGGGGCTTCGGCCGCGCCGGCCGCCCCCTTCATCTTCTTGGGGGGCGACTGTGGCTTGTCGGGCGCCTGCTGTGCCTCTTCCAGTCTCCGCTTGGAGTTCCGCAGCCCCTCCCTCAGCTGCCGCCCCCCCACCTCCTTAGTGCATGACTTTGGGTTCAACCTGCCGCTGGCCTTCAGGCCGTTGACAGCAGGCCCGGTGGACTTGGACGGCCCCCCGAGGGATAGCACCTGTTTGCGGGTTTTTGCATTGCTACTTTCGGTTTTCCCTGAGATTGTGTGGTTGACGGCTGAACTGGGCTTGTGGTGATTGGGTTTGGTTTCCTTGGCCAGTTCCCTCTTGGCTTTGGTGTATGTGACAGTCCCCCTGGTCACCGTGGCAGTGTACTTCACAGTTTTGGATGGTGAAGGTCGCACTTCGCGTATCTTTTTGGCACTGGTTGCACTTGCACCCAGAGATGACATTCGAGTGACTCCGTTTACCTTAGAAACCTACAGAGGCAGCAGAGGCAGAGAAGACAGGATTAGTCCCCAGGCTGGCTAAGACAGCAAACGGAACAGCAGAAGGCAAGGGCTACCGGTGATCGAACTCATCTTGGCCGCTCGCAGCCCTGCTTGAGACACGGAGACACCAGCAAGTTGAGGTAGAAGAAAACACAAGTCATTGGGAACTTTGCATCACACAGCAAATGCATCTTACAAACCAAGCAGCTCGGCCTGGGGCTGGCCATGGCTCTTCTTGGGTGTTGGCACTTTAGCACTTGCCCCAATGGCTCTTCCAGGAAAGCCTAGAATCGTATAACCTGGCACTAAGCGTTTATGACAGCAAGATCCTGCCAGCGGGAGAAAATGTGGGCTATATTTACACAGCCTCAAATACATAAATACATACCCTTGTTCTGTTTGCTATTCTTTTGTGGCTCCCCATGACCGTGTGGCCACACCCACAGAATTCTGAAAACCTATGTGGCTAAAAAAAGAAAACAAAACAAAACACACAATAGAAGGGAAAGAGCAATGGTGGCGTGTGGTTTGGCTCACATACACAGGCCCGGCCCAGAGGTTTGCCTGGAAACTGCCAGCAGCAGGGTTCTCAGTCGTCACCTCTGAGATGCACCCCAGTCACGGAGCTTGCAGGAAGGGAGAGGGATGTCTAGCCTCCCCGGGGAGGCCAATCATGCCCCAGCCTGCTCCTGAACATATGGTGCCCATTGCCTGACCCCTGACAAACTCCCACATGGGATCGTATGTGAACTTGGTGGAACAGAGCAGCTACTCTGCATGGACTGTATCACAGGCTGCGTACCAGTGAAACTTTTGTGATGCAGATAAGCAGGACATGCACTACTCTCTAAACAAGAACAATGAGAGGGGGAGGGGGGAACCTGCCCTCAGGCTCACTGATTTCCGATAGATGGCTCTATGTCACAAGAATGTTATCACCACAATGGAGAGACTGGGGCGAATCATTTATAGGCTCTTGGGCCTCACTTTTCATCTGCAACAGGAATTCACAGCCACGTATAGCAGGGCTTAAAAGCTACCACCATCTCCACAAGAGGTCACCGAAACATCACACAGGGTAGAAACCATAGCTTTCTCTTTTCCTAAATAACAGCCAAGAGCAAGTGCCTGGATGGAGGGTGTTTCTTGGTCCTAAAGCTAAGCAGTGGCAGTTAGTCACAGCAGAGAGAGCCACCGAAGCAGCCAGTTCCTCCAACTCCAGTGCCACTGTATGGCTGAGAGGGCATTGAGGATGCAGACACCAATGCACTAAGCATTGGCCTGGCTTCGAGGGGTGACGATCAAATGCATAGTTACCTAAACCACAGGTACTCAGAATCCCAGGAGCAGTCCACACGGCCCACTGGACCGCTGACCCACTGAAAAAGTATGTCTGGGAAGGGGCATTTCCAGCATTAAGATACTGAAGCTGCTGGTACCATCCTTTGAGAACCATTAAACAAAATATCATAAGTTGTTTTTTAAACAAACGAGCCAGGTGGCTGGTGACTCATGCCTGTAATCCTAGATAATCAGGAGGCTATGATCTGAGGACTGTGGTTTGAAGCCAACCTGGGCAGGAAAGTCCATGAGATTCTTCTCTCTAAAAAAGCCAGAAGTGGAGCTGTGGGTCACATGGTAAAGTAAGTTCAGAGACAGCACCCTGGTCCTCAAAAGTCCCGGGACTAGTACCCCCCCCCCAAAAAAAGCAAAGAACAACAAAGATATGAAATGAATTAAAATCATGCCTTAGTCATAAACCACTAGCTGCACTATGAAGAAAGGGGCTGATACAGAGGGTCTGGGATAAATAATGGGAATAGGAGCTGAGGAAATCAATATGAAAATGCATTTAAAAATGAATTTACAAGTCATGCCTGTAATCCTAGCTGAGGAGGCTGAGATCGGAGGATTACAGTTTGGAGCCAGCCTGGATAGTGAGGTCCCAGAGACTCTAATCTCCAACTAACTACCAGGAAACTGGAAGTAGAGCTGTGGCTTAAAGTGTTAGAGTATGAGCCTGGAGCAAAAAAAAAAAAAAAAAAGCCCAGGGACAGCACCCACACCCTGAGTTCAAGCCCCAAGACTGAGGGGACAAAAAAAGAATTTTCCAGGCCAGATGTGAGAGCAGATAGTACTTCCTTGGAATGCACCAATAATGTTGGAGAGGAGGTAGCTAAGACCTTACATTCTTCTCTAGCAAATGGCTCCACTGATAAACAAACAAACAAAACACAAAGACAAGCATTTGGAAGGCTAGGAGGAGGCCAGAGGAGCAGGAGGAAGCTGAGGCTCCCGTCTCCTGTCCCAAGTAGGCCACCTCAGAGGCGAACTGCCAAAGCTCATGGCTCCAAGCCATTTTGACTTCTGGGGGACACCTGAGCTTCTGGCCAGCAAAGTAAACCTTTGCTGTGGTGTCTATGTAGATTGGCAAGATCTAAAAACGTAAAAGCATGCCTCTATTTTGCCACTGTTAGAAATATGTTACTCTGCTCAAAGTCTTTCTCACTTATGCACCAGTAAAGGGTATCTGGGAAAGTATCATGCACAAGGTCCACAAAAGGAAGACTATATCTCACTCAACCCAGAACAATGACGGCTGAAGTGGAGACAGAGCAGATACTGATCGGAGTCCCTCTCCCTCACCAGCAAGCCAGTCCAACTGGTACCCTCCAGCGGAGGTCCTGATGCAGCTGAAGTCCTAGCACAGGAACCGCACTGTCTCCCTAGCTGTGGCATGGATCCTAAAGGTTCAATGTAAAACAGGACCGACAAGCAAGCCAGTTCCACTGCTACGAAAAAACTTGGGACCCTCCAAGTGAACACAAAGAAGCTTCACTTCTTAGTGTCTTTCAAGGAGCCAAAACTTAATTGGTAGTCAAGAAAACAAAAATTAATAAAAAATGCTCTGGGGGGGGGGGTCCTCCCTTCAGCCAACCAGCTGGCCAACCCAACCTCCTAAACTAAAATCAATCTCATGTGCTGGATGTCAGCTCAGCAAAACCCATGATCTGCATGCTGTGAGAGAGAGCTCAGCTCAAGTCCTGACAACACAGAGCGCTTGTCTTAATTCTCCGGAGGATTAGCACAGAGGTGGCTAACAGAAAGATTCCTTAGCCTCTGCCATAACTAAAAATAGTCCGGCTCTGATATGGTTGCTGGCACCCCCTTCTCACCCTCTAGTCCAGCTCTGCTGAAGTGCCTACAGCTTCTTCCTGGACCCACAATCCCCCACCTGTCACCTGCATCTCAGGTATATCCTAGGTACACAGCCAAGAGGTTTTATAACAACCAGGAAACCTTTGGTTTAATAGGTGGCAAGGGAGTTTGCAAATTCTATTCAACGGGCCTCGTATTTGCAACCTCCCAAGAAAACAGTAATTTCTAAGGTATGGGAGAGACAGGTGCAGAACATCAAACATTCTTTCTTGCTATGGAATAACAGATGTCCACTTTAAAACCACAGGTAAGCTGGGATCCGGTGGCTCATAGCTCAGCTATAATCCTAGATACTCAGGAGGCTGAGATCTGAAGATTGTCATTCAAAGCCAGCCTGAACCAGAAAGTCTATGAGAGTCCTATCTCCAATGAACCACTAAAAAACTGGAAGTGGAGCTGTGGTTCAGTAACAGAGTACTTGCCATGAGCAAATACACACAGGGACAGTGTTGAAGCCCAGGGTTTATGCCTCAAGATCACCACCCCCACACACACAAAAAAGTCTACAATGTGATCATACCCTTCTTGTAAGAATACAAAATCACCCTACTCTACCCCAGACTCACAGACAAAATAATTCAACCTAACAGATGACCAGTAAAAAGGAAAAACCTGAATTTATAAAGCAGAACCAACACTGAAAAAGCTGACACTATGATTTTAACTATGTACAAAATGTTTTCTTTTTGTGCCAGTAATAGGGCTTGAACTCAGGGTCTGGGTGCTGACCCTGAGCATTTTTACTCTCAAGGCTAGCGCTCTATCAGTTCAGCCACACCTCCACATTCAGATTTGGGGTGGTTAATTGGAGATAAGAGTCTCGCAGACTTTCCTGTCCAGGCTGGCTTCAAACCATAATCCTCAGATTTCAGCCTCTTGAATAGCTAGGATTACAAGCATGAGCCATAGGTGCCTAGCTTTGTGAAAATGTTTTGGTTGACCTAGATTATATCACATTTTTCTCAGTTCAAACAAGGACCCCCTTGTCAAACTCTTGTGCTCCACTAGAGGGAGGCAGAGGTCTGCTATCCTTTCAAAAGAGACCGGAGCTGCCTGGAACTCTACAGAGAACAGCTGTAGGCTGTCTGTCCACTTGGACTTTAAAATTTGAAAAGAATCACACTGGACACTGTGCTGTGGTGGGAGGTGTGGAGGGTGGGGGACACAATCTTCCAGCAAGAAAAAGTGACACTAAGAGGACAGAAAGCCTGGGTTTGTAGCAGGGTTCCTAATGTAATACTTTACAGCACAGGAAACTCAACTGACTTGAGTCAGAACACACACTACTATAAATGGGCAATTCAAACTGTAAACACAAGCTCACAAGAAGCAGAATAAGATTTTATATATTCTTTATACATAAGACAACTTTATTTTCCTCCTGTATTCTCATATTTCATCTTCCAGAGTTCATGCCAAATTTCATTTTCCTGAGTTTATATTCTGAATTCTCTGAATCTTAACATGGCCAGGGCTTCTCTGTCATCCCTGTTCTTTTTCATATGAAGTTGCTATGTAAGCCAGCATGGTGGATCATGATGATAAGAGTTAGCTATCAGCTACCCGTGGGAGCTGGTAATTTCCCTTCTTCATCCTATGCTCAGCCTCAGCCTATGATATAAGAACCATGGGTGACTAGATTGTGAACAGTCCATGTTCTGGGTGATCGGTTATATAAATTTCCACATAGGTAAATACCTACTCATAAACTAATTATAATAAAGGAGTATTTCAAAACCCTCTCTTTATAAATCTAGTTTAACAATCCTACATTGGTTACTGCACTTAAACTAAAGCATAATTTCAGTAAGTTTAATATATATCAGAACTGTTAGCAACATAGCCACAGCCCCTTGACAGTTTCAGGGTTCAGAGCACAGGTGTGTGTATTCTAAGACACAGGCCCTGCATTTATTATCACAAGCACCAGAGGGCTGGTCAGAGACTGCTCTCCCACCTAGACAACATTTGACTTCCCATGTGAAGTGCACACTCATGAGACTTGTTGCCAGGGTGTTCATATAGCCTGAGTGCTACCACTAGGTGTCATTCATAACAGCCATTTTGGTGTGAAAAACAGAAGTGCTAGGGCCCTCACAGACTAGATGAAGCCAAGTAGAGCGCAATCACTTCTCACTGGCATCCCTGATAAATATTACATCTCTGTACCCCATCCATCTAATTTCCAACAATCATATATTTATCCTTTTTGTCTAGATCAACATTCTTAAAAATCTGAAATAAAAAACCAGTATATCCTTTGGGCCTCTATCTTTTCCATGTAATTACAAAGATAAAAGGTCAAAGTATAATCATTTGCATCAAATAGTCACAAAGGGATCTACAAGTTGCTTTTATTGACCTTATTAACACTTAGCTAACAAGATTGGATGGTTTCGAAATTACCCCTTGGTTTCACAGTGTCCTTCCTTACGGTTGGCATGGTTTGTCTTGAAATGGCCAACTGGGCCGCAGGGACGTGAAATAGTTAAAGCCTCATCAGAGGTCCACGTCTAGACAAAATTACAAATAGGAACACTAAGTAGCCTATCTGGGGTGATCAAATAATGGGGGTGAGGGAAACACCTCCCACCCCCCAAAGATAAGTGAGGAGAAGGGATCCTGACTATGATATTAGCTATGAAAACTACCCCAAGTAAGGAAGCAAGCCAAAACTCATGCAGCAAGCAGTCAGGTTGCCAGGAGCTACCCTATGAAGGACTCTGCTTCTCCTTCCAATCCACAGGCGACACAGGTCATGGAGAAGGTGGCAGGCAGGACCATCCCAGGCCAAGTGGTATTTGCTGTTCCCCTCTACTCTGAATAGTCCTCCAGTGAATTACTCTCATTCACATTGCCATCACTGGGAACGCAGTGAGGACACTAACTGATGTTAACAGTACTTCATCTCTATTAGCCGCAAAAGACTGAGAGGTTGGGTACAGCAGCACAGAAACGTAAATGTGATGATTCCAGCCTCAACGACTTCACTTGATCTAAATGCCACTGAATATTCGAAAAGATATAAAATATTTTGAGGATATGCACACATGTATGCATGCACACATGTGCACGCGCGCGCACACACACACACACACACACACACACACACACACCTTACAAATACAGTCACATATTCATGCTAAGAAATAATCCTAACTAGCTAAAGACCAATGAATCATTCCAGTATTTTCCCACCACAGTGACCATCTTTGAGTCACTCTAGAACAGTGCCAATTAGAAAATCTATCCTGCTCTCTCCAACCTCCTTGTCCATGCTCACCACTGGTCACTTGCATGGACTGAGAACAAAAGTACGAGGGGTCAGTGAGATACCATGTACCCTGGGAAGCCCTCGCCTATGCGCTTCCCACACCCTGGCCTTGATGCCCTACTAATTCCCATTATCTACTTCCCAGGATTTGTATCAAGGGAGAGAAAAATGTTTCATAGCAACAATGGCCTCACGAGGTCTTCCAGCTGCCAACAGGAAGGAGCTGGTACCCACTCTCACTCTGCAGGGGGCACAGGTGGCGTGTTCAGAGTCATGTCACCTGCACACTGCTCTCCTACAATGTAGGATCCAAATACCTTCAGCAGAAAAACAGCTACCAGTAACCCAGGCCATGCAGACCACTCAGCAGTGTGTAGGCTCAATCACAGCTCTTGTTCCCACATCCTGAGAAATGTGCTAATCATCCCAGACTAGACTATACTGTCACCAAACTCATCTCAAACCCTAACATGAGGTTCCACCCCCATTCTTCTGAGGCCATGATGTCTGTCCTGGGCTCTGGTGAGCATATGGCATGCAGGGAGGAAGGCAGATTCACACGTGCCCCAGATTTAACTGATCTTCATAGGGCCCAACGTACGCTACCTACGGAGACTCTAGCTTTCCCCTCAATTATTTCCTACCACTTGAGTGCTTGAAGATAGGTATGCCGGTGAAGGAAATGGGTGGGTTCCAGCACATTCCCAGGCACCTGGGACTGGACATTACCTGTTTCCGTAAATCCTGAGCCGACCGATGCACAGGGGGGGGGTGGTGGTTGGCAGCAAGCCCCTTGGCTGAGGAGCCGGAGGAGGGGGCTGCCGCAGGCTGGGCCGCTGAGGCCTGCTCCCTTCGGCCGTCAGCCCTGTGATCGCTGTGCTTCTCCTTCCCGGGAGTGGCCTCTTTGCTTTTATGTTTTTGAACAGGTTCTTTCTCCCGTGTTGACCTGTTGGAACCATTGAAAACTACAAGGAAACAGAAAGAAAGACGCCGTTACTAACTTCAGAAACACTACCACCACATAACTCCATGTTCTGAAACTACTGAGTGACTGGGCACTTTAGAGGGATGCGCAGCACCCAACCACGTGCAACAGCATGAATCCTAAATGGCAAGAGACAGAAATCAAAGCCCTGAATGGTATCCTAAGATACGCTTTGAGAAATAGGGGGGAAAAAATCCACTTGTTTAAAATAAAAAAAATCTCTACATTAAATCCTCCACATCCTAGAGAATATCACCATGATACCTTAATGAACAGAAACAGAGATTAAAAAATACCTATGTGTCAGGGAGGTAAATGTGGAAGGGATGCGGCTGCTGATTCTGACCTTCCACTGACAGAGCAGGAAGAGAGGACAGGACCAGTGGATCTGTGAGCCAGGACCATCCACAATTACTGAATTCTAAAGCTGCCATTTGGCAGAGCACTCACATGCTGACCATGAGCCAGGTGAGCTGTGTAAAAGCCTTGAAGTGCATTTTTTTCTTGGCATACTCTGACAGGAATTCAAGGTGAGTAGCTAGGCCAGCTCACTGATCGTCATGGATAAACAAAGGGTGGGATGGTTCCTGAGCCAAGCCTGGTCACCTCTAAATCCAAGGCAACTACCATGCCTTGCGAGGGTGGCAGGCAGCACAGTATGATCATAACTTGCTATCCTATAGGCAGACTGCAGTGGAGTGCTTACTACAAGCCTACCGAGGGTTCTCACCGCTGGGAGACGCAGGCCCAGCCTACTTCACTGGTGTAAGGAAAGATCCCAGTGAGGGCCCACTTCTCCAAGAACAGGGAAAGAGAAACAGTATTTAGGCTCCTATAGGCAGAGCAGTAAAGTCACAGTAAGCTATTGAGATACTGCTTAAAAGCTCTGCCAAAAGGAGTCTTAGAAGCTTCTTAGGTAGTCTAGCTGGGCGCTGGTGGCTCATACCTATAATCCTAGGTACTCAGAAAAATCATAGTTTGATGCCAGCCTGGGTAGGCAAGTCCCCTGAGACTCTTCTCTCCAATTAACCACCAGAAAACTGGAAATGGCACTACATCTCAAGTTGGTAGAGCGCTAGCTTTTCTGCCCAGGACGTGTAGCGTATTGGAAGGCAAAGCCAGAGAGGGCAGGTGAAAACAGTCTTCCTCTCAAGAGGAAATCTCTTCTGCTTACTTGATTGAACAAGGAGAAATCAGAACTTCCTTCCATCTACTAGCCTTCCACAAGGACTGGGAAGGTAGCTCGGTGGTAGAGTACCTGCCTAGCATGCATGAAGCCCTGGGCTCCATTCCTCAGTACCACACAAACAGAAAACGCTGGAAGTAGCACTGTGGCTCAAGTGGTAGAGTGTTGGCCTTGAGCAAAAGAAGCTCAGGGACAGTGCCCAGGCCCTGAGTTCAAGCCCCATGACTGCCCCCACACCCCCCAAAAGACACTAACCCAAACCGCCCTTCTCTACCTTCTGAGGATTCCCTTATCCACGCTGCATCCTTAGCCCTGGTATCTTAAGCAATGCTTACTCTCACACCAGTGTGATAGAAGCTTTTTAAAATTATAATTGTATCTTATAGGCAGTGATTATTTTCTTCATTTTTCCTCTGCTTTCTTGTTATGGTACTAAATCTGCTAAGCAGTTGTTTTCATTTGCTTTTATGCTTAGAAAGTAATTCCATACTTCTTTAATCCCCTCTACCTTAAAGCATAATTGGCAAAAAATTGCGTATTTATGGTGTATGATGTATTTGACTTATATGCATTATGAAATGATTAACATCAAGCTAATCAACATGACCATCACTCCACATGCTTATTACTCGGTGGAAAGAACACTTAAAATATACTTTCTAGACCTCTTTCAAGAATACAATATGTGACTACTAGCTGTAGTCACCATGCTGAACCAAGTTCATCCCCCCTAATGAGTTTTGAAATTTGACCAACATCTTTCCACCCTCTCATCGTATTTTCTGGTGGCATAATCTATTTCCTTCTAAATACAATTTCAGTCCCCATGGAGTAAAGATTAAGGAATCTTAATCAGGCAGATAGATTCTCTCTCTCTTTCTCTCTCTCTCTCTCTCCTGGAATGGGTTTGACCCTTGACCTTCACATTCCTTTCAACATCAGATTGATTATAAAATCTGCTGCACTAAGGTTTTCGTTTCTGTCTTTATTTTACTTATTAATCTATTTTATAAAGTCCATATACAACTCAGATTGGGCTGGAACTGGCTATGTTGCCCAGGCTGGTCTCAAACATGCTACCTTTCTGCCTGCATCTCCTAGGAATACAGGTACAGTAATGTCACCACGTCTGCTCTTGTACAGGTTCTACTAAATACTCTGATGCAGAGAAAATGGAGAGCTTCAGATGGCTGCATTTATTCTAAATGTAAGCAACTAGCCGTTGTCAGAAATCATCAATCATACTCAAGCTGGCAGTATCTGTGACTGCTCTCAAGACAAATTAAAAGCAACATCCGTAAGAAGTCATACTTCAGGGTGATTAAAAATCAAGTAAGGTACATCTAGGCAATTCTTGACGGCCAATTTTCTAAAGTAGTGAACACAGCTCTTTTATTGAAACATGGTAGGTACAGGGAGTAGTTATTTTTGTTTTTGATGTTCTAAACTTCTATTTTTATTCCATTATGCTGACCATTCCTGGTGTGGCCTGATTTTAGGTAACAGCTCTATAGCTACTTCTCTTATTAGTTAAAAATTAATTATTCTGTGGGGTTTACCCTTTCATATAATAGTGCTATTTGCAGTTCTACTCATAGCCCTGCCATCGGCACATGGGCAAGTGATTTTGTCCTCAGTATTCTCTTTTACAGACAAACTATATTACTATGGTTTATGTCTCATAAGTCTTTGAATTGGCTGGTATACCATACCTGGGAGCACATTTGAAAGAGCCTTCTAAGATTATTGCATTATCTACCATGGCTTGGTCTCCTATCCCTTCCTACTGATGGAGGACCAAGAACCATCAAAACCTCAAACTTCCTACAGTCAGTAACATATAGAGTCAACTGCCACATTGACAATACGCCTGCCAGATCCCCCACCCAACTGCCAGACCCTCAATGGGATCTGGAGAAAGCCCAGAAGAGTCACCACTTGTCCTTCTAGGACTTCCAATGTCACCATACATGGAGAAAGGAGGAATCCTCATTCCCAAGCACGCAGAAATACACCGATGATCCAGTATCCACAGCCCCTACGCCCAAGGTTGAGTCCAAGTGCTATCACACCAGCAGCTGTCAGGGAGGGTGAGAATGCCAGGAACCACTGCAGCACATCCAGTAGGTAACGCTAAGACATCAGGTATGACCTCGCTGGGCTGACATGCGCCCTGATAGTACAAAAGGAGAGGAATAGCTGGGAAACACAAATCAACAGCACACTTCAAACACAGGCAATGATGTGAAGCGACTGGAGCCTTCATACACTGCCAGGGAGCCTAAGATGGTGCAGCCATCAATCGGTAAAATGGTGGTTATATGTACAGAAATAAACATATATAGGGCTGGGAATGTGGCTCAGTGGTAGAGCGCTTGCCTTGCATGCATGAGGCCCTGGGTTCGATTCTTCAGCACCACATAAGCAGAAAAGCCGGAAGTGGTGCTGTGGCTCAAGTGATAGAGTGCTAGCCTTGAGCTGAAGAGCTGAGGGACAGCATCTAGGCCCAGAGTTCAGGTTCTACAACCAACAAAAAATAAATACTATATATAAAAATATTATAATATATTAATACTAATGTTGATAATATAAATATTATATATATATATATATATATAATCTATTCCTAGGTATGTTCATGAGAGAAATGAAAGTTGGCCTATTTTTCACAGCAGAATTATTCTTAAACATTTAAAATGTAGGTGTGTGAGCTGTGTAAGTGGTGCTCATACTTCTTATCCCTACTGTACACAGAAGGCTGAGATGGGCAGGATTGTAGTTCAAGGCCCTTTCCACCAACCCCCTCCCCCAAGTGTGTGAGAGCCCATCTAAAAAGAAGCTGGGTTTCATGGTTTGTGACTGTCATCCCAGCTATAGTGTGAAACATAAGTAGAGAAGGATTATGGTCCAGGCTGGCCTGGCCAGAAAAAGAAAACTGAGTCCCTATCCCCAGAGGTAACCAGAGCAAGCTTGGCATGGTGGCTCAAGTCTAATCATAGCTACTTGGAAGGCAGAGACCAAGGGACCACAGTTTGAGGCCAGCCCTAGCAACACGCAATTTTGGGGGTTCTATCTCACATTCCTGATGCAATGACATACGCCTCTTACAGCTATGAGGGAGGCACAGAGGCCGGGTCCAGTCATTGCCAACAATACAAACCAGAAGTAATACTGAAGCCCAGAAACAATGCAAGACCTCCACTTCAAAGATGAGCAAGGCAAGCTGTGTGCTAGTGGCTCACGTCTGTCATCTTAGCTATTCAGGAGACTAAGATTGGGACGACTGACCAACTAACCAGCAAAAAGCTGAAAGTGGAGTTGTGTCTCAAGTAGGGAGAGCTCTAGCCAAGTGAGAGAGTATAGCCCTGAGTTCAGGCCCCAGTACCAGCACACGAACACACAAAGACACAAACAGAGCCAGAAGTGTGGCTTAAGCTGTAGAACACCTGCCTAGCAAGTGCAAAGTCCAGAATTCAAGCCCCCAGCAACATCACCACTGCCACAAAAAAATGAGTGGCGTCAAAGGCCCATCAAGGATGTGTATCATGTCCACACATATTGTTTATCCATAAAAAGTAGCAAAACCTGATCATAGCATGGGAGAATTTCCCAAAGGTTACTTTAAGTAAAAGAAACTAGGGGAAGGTGGGAAGGTGGCTCAGTGGTAGAGTGCTTGCCTTGCATGCACGAAGCCCTCGGTTCGATTCCTCAGCACCACATAAGCAGAAAAAACCAGAGGTGGCACTGTGGCTCAAGTGGTAGAGCGTTGGCCTTGAGCTGAAGAGGGACAGTGC